CTCTGGGATTGGTGGACAGCCAGGAGAGATGGGGCCTGCTGGTGCTCCTGGTGAAGCTGGTGGCCCTGGTCCACGTGGTCCCAATGGTCCTCCTGGACCTCCTGGGATTGCCGGCAAACCCGGCCAGCCTGGAGCCCCTGGCATTCAAGTGAGTTGACTTTTCCAATGTGATAAACCACTGGCATAAAGAAGGGTGTGACCTTGGTCGTTTTCTTTTCCTCCAATCTAGGGGTTGCCTGGTCGTGATGGGGCCCAAGGTCCAAAGGGTGAGCCTGGACTGCGAGGTCTTGCAGGATCTCCGGGTCCACAGGGCCCACGAGGTGTTTCTGGTCCTGCTGGAGCTTCTGGAGAAGCCGGTCCGAAGGGTCCAGTCGGCAGCCCCGGACCTGTTGGCTCTCCTGGACCCACTGGTAATCAAGGCCATCCTGGACCTATCGGACCTCGAGGCCCCACTGGTATGTAACTTGTTAAATGATCACCTTTTGAATAGGTGTCACTGGCAGTTACTAGCACCCAAACTTTTAATTATACGTCCAGGCCCACCTGGTCCAATGGGTCCTACTGGACCACGTGGTCCACGCGGACGTGCCGGACAGAAGGGTGCAATGGGTCCGCCAGGTGCTCCAGGCGCTCCCGGAGCTCCTGGAAGTGACGGTCGCCCTGGACAGCCAGGTGCTTCGGGACGACAGGGTCCCCGTGGACGTACTGGTCCGCGCGGTGAAGCAGGTCCTGCAGGGCCCGACGGTTCTGATGGTAAAACCGGCCCCATCGGCCATCCTGGTCCAGACGGAAAGGAGGGAGCGCCCGGACCTCAGGGCCCCCAGGGTCCACGTGGTTTTCCTGGTAAATCTGGTGAAGACGGTGTCCCTGGCCGTCCCGGCGTCTCTGGTCCTTCTGGTGAACAAGGCGCACGGGGTCCTCCTGTAAGTCCTCTTCTCGTTTCCATTCTCTTTTTTTTTCGATACTATTAATTTCGAAAGCAATTAGACGTTCCTAGTGATCTGTAGAAACGTAATCCCAGTAGCTCGTCGTGCTCTACACCTATTCCTCCTTACATCGCTTTTGTTAGGAAAATAACGGCTCCAAAGGAGTACCATTTTTTGCACCTTTTTACCGTTCTTGAATATATTGGTTTATCCGATTATCAGGAAATAAGGGAAATAGCGAGGATTATTCTTTTGCCCCCACTAACCCCATTTGTTGTGTGTTCCCTATCATATGACTTGTCCTTGCAGGGTCCACAAGGCGAGCATGGAACTCCCGGTCCCAACGGTCCAGTGGGTCCCAAGGGAGACCGAGGTGACAAAGGGCCCACTGGTCCGGCGGGTATACAAGGTGAGACTGGTCCTTCTGGACCCCGAGGAAGGCCTGGTCGTCAAGGTCCCAAGGGTGGACAGGGCCCCATGGGTCCCGACGGACCTGCCGGACCTCGAGGTCCACGCGGCCCGAGTGGTGAGCCTGGAGACGACGGTAAAGAAGGCGAGCCTGGCAGGGACGCTGAAGATGGACCAGCTGGACCCCGGGGTCGTCCTGGTCCTGCCGGTGACCGTGGTGAGGCTGGTCCACCGGGTCCCGCTGGCACTCCCGGTGAACCTGGAGTCAAGGGTGATGCTGGTCCCATGGGTCCTATGGGAGTCATGGGTGCTGCAGTAAGTACAAGCCTACTTTATTCTTCTTCAGCTCTCTCAGTTATAATCATTGACTCCTATTTCTACAGGGTCTTCCTGGTGTACCTGGCGAAGATGGAGCTCAAGGTGCCCGCGGCTACAAAGGTGACCGTGGACGTCAAGGCGCACGTGGTCTTCCAGGCAAGCACGGTGAACCTGGACCCCGCGGTCCATCAGGGAAGGAGGGTCCGCCTGGCTTCCTCAGGATAATTGGGAGAAGTATCGGTGTGTCCGGACCTCCAGGTGAGACTGGTGCTGTGGGACCTACAGGACCTAAGGGTCGTGCAGGGATGCAAGGCGTTCAGGGACAACCAGGTCCACCAGGAGCTCCTGGAGCAGCAGGAAGTCGAGGTGTACCGGGTGCCAAGGGTCCCAATGGCAATCCTGGTCGGGATGGTCCTAGCGGAACGCCTGGACTGCCTGGTCCTGCGGGGCTTAGTGGGGCTTCTGGTCCTGCTGGTCAGCCTGGACCACGTGGGAAACCAGGTCTTCCTGGTTCTCCTGGTTTCGATGGCATTCCTGGTCTGCGTGGTATGACCGGATCAAGCGGAAAGCCCGGTCCTACTGGTAGGGTCGGAGAGCCTGGAGATAGGGGTCCTCCCGGACCAATTGGTCCTGCTGGACGTGATGGAGCCCCCGGGCGTGAAGGTGCTCAGGGTGACCAGGGAGCCACCGGTGAACCCGGTCCCATGGGGGACAAGGGTCCCCAAGGAGGTGTTGGTCGAGACGGTCCAATGGGTTCACAGGTAAATCAGTGCCAATTTCCCGTCTCTCCCTCTGCTTTCGTGCCTTATCTCCCTTACGCCCCACAATTTGTACGCGAAGGGCATGCGTGGAGCCAATGGCAGTCCGGGCGCTCAGGGACCTCCTGGCCCAGAGGGTCTTCCTGGACCGCAGGGTCCCCAGGGTCCCACTGGTGACCAAGGTCCGCAAGGTCCGCCTGGTCCTCAGGGTCGCAAAGGTCCAGTCGGTGAGGAGGGTCCTGAAGGATCCATCGGTCCCGACGGTCCTATTGGACCTGAGGGTCCAGTTGGAGAGGTTGGTGATGCTGGTCTTCCCGGCTTCCGTGGTCCTCGTGGTGTACGGGGCGTAACCGGTTCCATCGGCTTGGAGGGTCCAGTTGGTCTGCCGGGCCGTCAGGGTGCACCTGGTGCTCGTGGCCGTGCTGGCAAGCCCGGAGCTCCCGGAGCCCAGGGAGAAGTTGGTCCCCCTGGTGAACCCGGTGCCGATGGAAAGGACGGAAGTCCCGGACCTGAAGGTCTTCCAGGCCCTCAGGGCCACCCTGGCTGGATGGGACCTCCAGGCTTGCCTGGCGAACAGGGAGACGACGGACCCCGTGGTGACACTGGTGAGGCAGGTCCTGATGGAAATCCTGGTCCAGCTGGTGAGGCTGGTCTCATCGGCCCGCGAGGAAAGACTGGCCCCAAGGGACCCCGTGGAGACCCCGGACTTCCAGGCCCTCAAGGTCCAACTGGTCGTGATGGTCCTCGAGGTCCACCTGGACCTGTTGGCCCACCCGGCCCTCCGGGTCCTCCTGGTCCACCTGCCGTCAAGATGCCTATGATGACGTCACCCACCAAGGGCAACATCATGTATTCGGACGCTGCTGCCATCGCTCAGGTCTTCGGTGTTGAATCCATCTCAGTTCCACTGGGTACTCGTGACGTCCCTGCGCTCACGTGCAGGGATCTTGCCAAGTCTCATCCTAATTTGCAGGATGGTAAGTCCACACTCCCTTATCATCACGCCGAGCGATAACATTGCTTGATGCGTCTTTGAAGGCCTCTATTGGGTGGATCCAAACGGGGGTGGTCCGGAAGACGCAATTCATGTCTACTGCAACTTCAAGACAAAAGAGACTTGCATCGATTCCAATCAGGCTGTCTACTCAGCGGGTGCGGAAAAGCAGAGTTCGACTGATGATTTTACGTGGCTGGGTGAAGTGGCGGACTACGGCAACCTCCTCTATAAAGTTGAAGGTACCCAACTGGTCATGCTGAAAGCGCGCTCTTTGGGCGCACACCAAACTCTGACTGTCTCCTGCGCCAAGGGCCTCAAACTCTACTCAGACAACGAAATTGAACTAACCTCCAACGAAGTCCATGCCAAATTCAGTGTCACCTCTAACACTTGTCAGGTCAGTCCCCTTGCATACAGGCTATTCGGCAGGAATTTTTGTTACTATAGGACGAGATATTTGAGAATACAGGTAACTCCACTCGTTCTTCACTGTACTAACCAACTCCCCGAAAATTAAATACGTAATGTGTAATGGGGTTTCGCTCCTTTCCTCTAATGTAGAACAACTCTGGCCTTCCTAAAGAAGTAGTGTTGGATGTGTACGGGCCACCACTTCGTCTGCCAGTGCGTGACGTGGCCTTCGCCGTGGCAGAGGCCAAGATGAATGTTCGAGTGGGTCAGGTGTGCTTCCAGTAGACGGCCACAGCACAACGCCGATAATGCACGGTGATATCTCAACGCAAATCGACTACAATACTTATTAAAATAAATAATAAGTTTTAACGAAAAGCACACGGTGCTATCTCCATACCCTCACTCGCCCATCCATCCATTCACATACTCCTCTTTTTACCCCCACCTGCATCCCCCCCATTCAGCGTCTGACGCCCGCCCAACAAGGTCCTACTTCCCTCAATCGCACCTTCACTCTGCTTTGTGTCGTCTTGAGCCCATGTTTTTGATTGTACACATGTTCTGTTCTCACGAGGTGTGTGTAATATGAGCCTGATGATGTGTTAGGTGGGCTCTTTAGCACTCGGGGGGCGGTGGTACCATTGATCGCTTGACCATCGGAGGCGGTCCTCCTATTTGCTTGCACAGCTTATAGGAAGATTAACTCATGCAGGTGTCTAAGTGGGCAATGAGGTGTCCTCAGTTAGTTGACTCTCAAGATCTCAACTTGACTCGATTAAGGTTCCACAGCAACGGCAGCTATTTTATAATTTGCGGGGTCTTTGTTGATCCTATGGAGGTATGCCATTACACGGGTAACATGGATTTAAAGGTGACACGGCTGATTGAGGGGCGAAGAGATAAAGAGGGAATTGGCAATATTCCGCTTCACGACTACAAGGATGTCAAAAATTGGTTAGGAGACCACGAGGTCAACTTCAACTTCAGAGCTTGCCAGAGGTCGAGAACCGGGCTGTATTACGAACGCACGTGAGAGTTAACCGTGGTCAACTCTCGAGACGTCTGAACTAAAGTTGTGACTGACAGCACACATGGGCGGCAATTTGAGAGAAATTTGATTAGCGGGTGACCAACAATCATCTGCACCCCTGACTTCTATCATAGTCGGTCTTGACGGAACTTCAACAGCTCTGTTTTGTATCAACTTCGAGTTGATCTAAGATAGACGCAAGCATTTGGGTCTATGTCAAATCAAGCGTGGAACTCAGATTTGCACATTTATTGGGGTATCGAATCAACGTAAAATAAGTTTTCGGATAACGGACCTGTAGTTGGTTCCTTTAAGGATAACAAAAAACCTAACCTGCTGGAAGCTTCCATGCAGTACCACCGCTAGTTCATTAATCAATAAGGTTGCATTCAATACGTTGTCGTTTACAATTTTACGTTAATTTTAGCTGAACATCATCGCAAAATACTACCACACTGGTGGGCATTCAATTGCACTGGCTCTTCAGTCCTCGTGGATTCTAGAATCACCATGCTGTGGCAGAATTCGCCCATGCTTTTAGTGCCCTCCCGTCCACGTACACGGTAATAGTAAACCTTCTCCACTAGGGTGCTTTGTTACATCTTTGGATGTAACTTTGCTCAAGGACCGACTGTGTGGACCTTTAGATCAGATTACTTACAAATCGTGTCAGTTCATAGTGTGAAAAGGCGCAAAAAATAGTGGGATTAAGAGCCTTTTAAACGAGGTGAAGATTTGCTGTTAGGAGGAAGGCGTTTAATATTAGATATAATACCATCAATGCGCACACTTAATTCCATCAGGATTCCTCGTAGCGCAAAATTCAAAGCTGGGATTATGCGGCAATTGCCAACTGAGTATTTCATTTGCATCATAACCTCTTCTCAATTTCTGAACTGCGATTGTCATTGACGTGTGCTTGATCGGCGGCATTTAAAGACGTGATTTCTAGTAGGATTAAGATGCTTTATTCTATCGGGTCATTATTGGAGCTTTGCGAGTTTCATCCGGAAAGGCCGATAAGCTACATTCACGGGCTTCGGGAAATGGCACTAAGATGGAAGAACTATGGGCGTAAAGAAGTGATTGTACTTACTGCACAAATATCTTCTCAGATTTTACGGCTTTATCAAAATAGAGGGTCTAGGAAGTAGCCTAGTGCAACGAATTTTAGCTGTCCACCACAGGGCAGCTGCTGCCTGTTCAAAACCTCCTGTATCAATATCATAAAATTCCTATGTTTTCTTGTATATTAATGATAACCATTTCTATACAAAACTGCAAATTGTACATACATTAACCTGTCAATAAATAAATCTTAAAGTGTTCGGAATGTAAAGAAGTTTTAGTAGATTCTTGTGTGACTTTTTCTTAAAAATCAGAATAAAATAACCAGTCTCATTAAAAATTTGGTACTAACAAATAGTTTTTTGCCTAAAATTTTAACCTGAGACCGTTGTTGAGGTCTATATTTTGCCATATTAAAGCTTGCAAAATACCTCAGCTGAGATTGTTTTAATGCGCAAAACGCAATAGTTACCCCAGATTTGGCCCTGAACGATCGAATCTCACCTTTGAAAGACGAAGGCGTTCCCGATTTTGCCAGGTCTATTGTGTGTTGGGTTTGTTATTTTTTAAGTTGCGCACGGCTTATTTAATAAAAACACATGGCACTTTTGTTTTATAACACATTGTCATGTGTTTACGATCCAGGTTCTTTGGGCTATGCAGAACACGTCTCCTAGTTTCTATTTTACTGTAAAGTTTTGTGTCGTTGAGCGCCGTTTTTCTTTTGCGTTGCTAAGCCTAAATCTTTAACAGCACAGCACTTTGTGGCCTAAGCATAATATTGCAAGATTTTGATTTTTGGCATTAGTAATTGGTTCTTACCATTTTGTTGCACCCCATGCTTTTCGCAGAGACATTTGCCATCAAATGCATCATTTTCAACTAAAACACAATCCTAATTTAATTATTTTGGAATGCCAGCAAATTTGTATCAGTTACTAAGCTTTGTTTAATTTCTGGCGTCACACCTTCGTTTGCACAATGTCCGCTTAAAGATTCCTTGTCTCCTTCTGCATACCCGTAATCCTCGAATTTGTAGAGCTATCAATATTTTCCTTTACTTAAGTTATTTTGTGAAGGACGTGAAATGTGCTTCTGGTTATGATACAACCTGTTTTAGCTGCATTTTAAACCTCAATTTTAATGGTACCCTGTTGGGGTGTTTTTTTTTTCGGAAAATTGTCTCCGTTACTTTGTTTAAATTTTCGTTTTGTTTGCAAATTTTGTTTATCCTGTTTTGTCTGTTTCGTTTTTGGGGCTTGTTGTGGTCGTCTCTATTACCCATTGGTTGTAGTTCGACTGCTCACCACGGGAGATGATTAAGGTGCCCTCAGCAAAGAGCATCAAATAATCACCTGCATTCAGCGATCCGCAATTGGGGGGAGGGTAAAAGTGAGGTGGGGGTGTCTAGCCTTATGGACCCACGCAAATTTCACCATTTCCCCGGCTTAGGTTTTGCAGCTCGGAGTCTCTTTCATACGTTAAGTTAGCTTTAATTTGAATTCACCAGGTGACAAGAAGTTTTAGCTGATTGACAAATTGAACTTTGACATGTTGTCACTAGGAATGCACATGCATTAAATTCAGTTGAGTTTTAAAATACTTAAACCACTCAAATCTGCCATCCCTTTTAAAATGTATTCCACCTAGAACACCAGGATCGTAATTCACTAAGATTTACGCAAATGGAGCTTGGAAGATTTCTCATTAGTGTTTAATGTGACAAAATAGTCATGCCCTTGCAACTCGCATTTACATCTTTGAAACTGACTAGTCTTTGCATAAAGGAGAATCGGCATTTTGCGCGCGTCCCACATGTGACGGGGATTACTTGAGGATCAGGGGTTAGTAGTGCGCGACTGTCGGACAGTTGCGTTTTCTTCCTGCGCAGGCTTTTATCACCACGCTTGGATAATTCGTCCATGCCCCTTGCAAAATGACACCTATTTGAAAGCAAAAAAGGAAGGAGAGACGAAAAACAATCCGTTACTTTTGCCGTTTGTCTGTGCAGTTGATTCTGCCGCATTGGCGCTTGTTCATTACTTCTCTCTCCTTTTAGGGCACACGTGCAGGAACGAATGACGCAGATTTACTAAAAAAATGCGAAAACGCCATGAACGCAAGTCTTACCACTTGTTCACGGTTCTTTTCCTCACAATACTTCTTGATTTCCTTCCAAGTAGACTCATAAGTAAGTTCTTCACTTTTATATTCCACGTATGCTCTTCTATTGTAGAACTCAGCATTTGATTCAAATCAGAGATTCATGAAATTATTTTGCGTGTCTGGAACACCTTGAATAATTTTACAACCGACCAGATTGGATTCGTCCATATTTGTTTTCATGGGAACAGCTGTTGTTTAGATAAGACTAAGCCAGATTGTTCCAGGCTGTGTTGCATACTCTAAGCCTAGTGGACACGGCACCTGAGTAATTTTGAATGTCACCTTCTGAAAGGCTAGATTTAGCGTATTTTCTGAAACTGAGGCCTATTTTCACTCAGTTCTTGGAAAGGTTTAACCATCAAAATACTGGTGCTAAATTAGCAGTCACTAATGTTCCGTAAGAACTATTCACTCTTGGATGGAAGGATTGTCAGTGCTGCTCTCAAGCCTCTTCATGGAGGTGATTAACGGTCCTTTTAGAAGGGATTACACTAACTAATGTCGGTACTTGGAAGAGTAGAAAGGTGACACTACTCACAGACCTAACAGAAGAGCAAAAGTTCACATTTTGCGTGAAATTCGATGTGCGAATTCACGAGCGCGAAACCAAATTAAGGTGCAGCGGTGTGCTTTAATCAACGCAGTAACCCCTTCAGGTCACACAGGCATACAAAAGCTACCCTAGTCTGTCCACATCATTTGATCAAACACACAACTGCGCTGCATTGTACCCTTTTGGTATGCCTCGAAAGGCTGCTTCTACTTGCTATCTTAGTCGTACTATTTCGGCTAAATTTATCACCTACTGCGCACTTCATCGGTGAACTCAAAAGAAGGGTGAAGAAATGCGTGAATCTGTCGCCTCATTGGAAGTGATGAGGGACGAGGCAATCGGTTTACCACTTTAGTCACCCTTCATGCAAATCATTCAGCAGCTCATTGGAACCAATTCGCTTAAAAAGGGTCCAACACGCATTCCTATGTGCTGCTTACCCAGAAATAGGTGTCCTGGATCAATTTTTCGCCCACTTGCTGGGATGACCTCTATCTGACCTAAACTTTACCACCCTGGAGCATGTATGTCCATTATCTACCAGTTGTAGGGGCACTAAAGTTATAATACTGCTATACCTTCGAATGTCAAGTATGTGAAAACGTCATAAAGTGAGGTCACAAGCATCCTCCCACCCTCAGGTTTGAAACTAGGGGCAAAAGTGATTAAGTGAATTAATGGTTCTCTTAGAACAAGCTAAAATCCCCAAGATTTTGTTTTCATCCAACAACCTTCGAACCTCTTAGTGGTGAATGCTCTTCACGAAGTCTGTACAGGTGGTGGATCATGAAAACTTTGTCTATTTTAGGAGGCATTTCAGCTACAAGCGATGGCTCTCAATCCGTCCAGTTAGCACAGCTCTCAGGCGTAAACAGGTAAATTTGCAGTTTCTTGTCTCATTAGTGGGGGCGTGTACAAGCAAGTGTTGTTTGGTTTGCATTTTTCTCAAAATGATCACCTTTAATGAATACGTGAAAGAACTCTCCATGAGTGAATTGATAGCATTGACAAACTGTAGACCATTCCCAAACAGCTGGAAGGCTCAGATGTCCGAACACTCATTGTGTCAGTTGTGATTTGCGTTAAATTTTGGATCGGAACCTGGACTTTTAGTCATTGTAATTGGTCATCAAATGGTTAAGTGAAACTTGATATTTAATACTTTATCTACCAGTGTGTGACGCCCCAATTCCAGCGTCACAAATATGTGACGCGCTCATTACCATTTTATGACGACTAAAAAATTTGGGGTCATAAACATGTCTATTGCGTTCAAGTAAAGGAGACACTAGACATCTCTATTTTTCTGTTCGGGCGGCAAAAGAATTAGTCAAAAAGCGGTAAAGATTGATGCGCGTTGAAACCGTAGGACCTCCGGATTATTAGTGGTCAATTTGCCACCGAGACCCTGATAACGGAGGTATTAAGAGCATCGCGGGACTGAATTCGACCCATCTTCGATTGAAGCCGCATCTTGATGTCGGAAAAGTAGGCTTATTTGACATCGCTCCGTCCCACTGTAGACTTTTCACACTACAAAACATCCATTTAAGAAGTTAAAAAGAGAGCCTTTCATATTTTATCGTTTGTCCGGTTTACTAGAGTGCTGTGTTAACTGAACGTAAGGCATGTTTGTAACTTCCTTCCTTTCATTCAATCCGAGTGATCATAGCTATTTAGCAGCTAATGTATCCTCCCCTTTTTCGTCCCATTAAGTCCATTCCTTTCACGATCACAAAACTTCTTATCCTCAAGTGTGACACATTCGCTAAGCCAAAAAAGGACAAGAGGTAAACGGACATACGACTACCGCCCTGTGATTTTCCTATCCTCTTCACTTCCTCACCCTCGTTCACACCCTTGTGTTGCCTTCTCTTCCTCAGCACCAAGAGCCCTGCTATCAAGGCTAAGCGGTACACGGACAAGCGATCAAGTAAGGCAATTTTCCCCTCGGGAAGCTAGTTATCTCACTCCAAAGATGAATTAATAATACCCCTTTTCTTTCGCCTGGTGCATAGGCCCACTAACACCCACAAACCCGGTTGTGTATCCAACCAGCTTCGGTGCCTTAAACATTTCTTGGGATCCGCCCATATCAGCTCTTCTTATCAGTCACTATGAGTAAGTTCGTGGCGTATGTTCTTCTTGCCATCAGGGCGACAAAATTACAATCTACCTTGTTGGATTAGATTAACCACGAGCCTCTTATAACAGTAGAGCCTGCTAACTATCCTTGACCACCTTACAAAGGAAAGCGGCAGCCGTGTGCGTTGACCGGGCATAGAAGGGACTGAAACGAGTGCATTAAGGCCTACTTCGTGGACTGTTGTGGTTCTGGTAAAACATGGAAAGATAAGTTCCTCCACCCATACATAAAGTGCCGGTATGATGTGGAACAGCACTGCTGCTATACGCTAAATTTGGAGCTATCGCCTACAAATACGGAATCCCGAACGCTTCAGTTCGGCTGATTCAGTACCGTTTTAATTAAGCACAAGCACTTCCTGCACTGTTGTAAATTATCCGAGCTGAACACCTTGAATGAATGGATTTCCAGCAGTCTATCATTCTTTACTACTTTATATGGCACTAGATGGCCTCTAATAAAGAAGTACATATTTGTCATTTGACCTATCGATGGGTGCATACGATGAGCGCTATTTAGGATTCAGTTGAGGTCAGGGTATCAACCCGAGATTACCTGCTCAGTATTCTTCTCCCCACCTTTAGAGTGGTTCTGCGAAACCTCACTCACGCGGAGGACGTGAGACGACGCGCCTGTCCGTGGTACGAGGCGGTGACACCAGAGCCAAGTGTTATTACGCGCTTGGTGGAGCCTTCACAGCACCCCTCGCTCCGCCTCACAGACATGCTTCCCGACACCTTCTACAGCGTGGAGGTGTGCGCTCACCTCCACAACGGCTCCCGCTCAGCTCCTGTCCTTCTCCCCTCCTCCCCCCTCGTGCCCGCTGCACCCCCTTCGGGCTACCCCACTCAGGTGAGCCCTTGCCTAAAGCATGCCTCCACTTTGCTCTTCAACACATACGTATTGGATTGACAGCTGAATGCTCCATCGCTTTTGTGGTATAGGCCTTTAGGCTTCAGGGCAGATTTGTCAATCACCTTTTCTGCTATCGCATTTTATGTCCATGTTGGAGACTTTGAATCTATCTGTTTATGTCTGGAAAGGTAGCAAACTAACTTCCTGTCTCTTTTCGAAACCCTGTGGGATGGAACACCATCCTGAGGTAGCAAAATACCCATGCATTATGGAGGCTGCTTTTTAACTTCACGAAGGATAGTTACAACCGAAAGTTCGAATGATTAAAAAGGTGAAAAAGCTGTTTGTGTATGCTGCGTAATTCCATCTAGTTCTCATTCTCCACGGTGTTGCTTTACCTTAGTGATGCGCGTTTAACTCGGCTTTAAACGCAAATTGCTGCACAGACGGGTGCGTTCTTGACTGCCACTAGCTTTTCCCATCGAATGGAGGACATAACCATGTGGGAGGTGGCTAGAACCATCACAATGTCAGTCAAACTCTCTTAGCTGGAGAATGCGTTACAGTCCAAACGAGAAATAAATTCCACGAAAATTGCAAATTACGTATCTGGATAACAGCATAGCTTTTAAGTTGCCCCAGAAGATGATGCAGGAGCTATGAGCCCAATCTAACCCGAGGTATGACTGTGAGAAGCGGCTGGATAATAGGCTCAGGGTTGTGCACAGCTAGTGAACAACTTTTCACTTCCACGTACATAAAATGTCTTAATGTCTTGTTAAAGTATATTGGAATAAAACCCCAAAAAATCTTTGGCGTGAAAATGGCATCCGGCGTAGGTGGGAGGAGTACACTGGATGAAGGTGGTCTTGCCTGCCACCGACCATTGACCGCTGCTCGGTCAAGAAGGCATTTCCCTCCCCCCCCATTGTGCTACACCTAACTCTTCTGTACCCCAAGTTATTGGGAAGCACATTCATGATGGCAACCAACCCACATTCCATCAAATGGGGACAGTTAGGACTACAGAGGCGGTTAAGATTGGCAAGTTTTACAGCGGCCTTCTTCCTTTCTGCTGCATTTCTCCTGGTTCCCTTGTTAATAACAACTTTCTGTCATTGATTCCTAGTTTGGATGCCTAGGGTTCGCACCAGGCCCATTAACCCCCTTGAATACTGTAGAGCGAAGATGACCTCGTCTGCCTAATATTTGCACCTCCCAGGCGCTAGCAGCACTTAGCTTCGATAAGCCCCATCTAAAGTCACCGTAAGATACGTCTGAAAATTATGAGCTGGATTGTAACTAGGGTTCGACTACTTCCAAAGGAGTCGAAATATGCATAGCAAGGGCCAAGCCTTGACTTAGAGCGGTCTTTTTTATTCTTTCATCATCATCTGGAGCATTTCCGATTCCGGGCTTAACTTCCCTGCTGCATTGTGTCACAATTTCTGCATTTCACAATGAGCTGCCATCGTTGAATGCATGAATTCTTTTGAGAAATACAACCTGTACCTTTGGGACTTTGGAACCATTCCCGCAATTGTGGTATCTGTTTACATCAAACTAACTTGTGTTGATTTGATCGGATTTGTACAACTCAGATAAAGGGCGTGCCAATATTTGGTGACGTTTTCTTATCAATTCTGCTAATGTCTGGCCACTACTAATGATTGATGGCGTCTTGCTCACGGAACGCAACTTAGCTTACCTTCATGGACCCAGACACGTTTCTCCAACCAGCCGCTGCAAGGGGATTGCATTTTGCTTTTTCCCCAGGGAAGAAATCCGAGTAAAATTTACTTCAACTCCTTGCTTTAGGATGCTGCGCAGAGAGGTATAACAACTAGTGTCTTGCATGATGCCTTTAATCTAAGTCCACAGGAAAAGAGCTGATTGATAGGCCTGCCTCAGAGCAGCAAATGCAGTGACTAAGTCCTCCCCGCAGTTGTTTAAGGCGTACAAGTGATTCAGTAATCGGAGGGGTTGTGAGGAAATCTCAGACTACAGTTAGGTGTTCTTACAGAGACGACAAAACCGTATTATAAATGCCATTGCGCATCCAATGAGGAAAAACCGAGAGAGGTGGAGGCCTGTCCTCACCCTACAAAAGGGATGGGGGGTGAATCCAAAGTCTATTTTACTGGCTTCCCTCCATCTTCTGGCTACTTGCATAAAGCCAAGGTTTATTCATGCCAAAAAAATGAAAGAAAAGACAGTTAACTTTATAAACGATCGATTTGTTGAAGACTGCGCTAACTGGTATTTCTTTCTTTATCCGTATCATTGTGCATTTTAAAGCATTGGGAGAGTGTGGAGTTAAAATGTTATTATTCCTGTTGCCTTTTCATCGTGCAAATGCCTCCTGCCTGTTATCAATTACTGACTTGGTACAAGAAAACTGTCCGAAATAGCGTTAGACCGAGGCGACAGAAGATGAAATATAAAAGAGAGGGAGTTATGTAATGCGCCTGAACATTGACCGTCATTCCTTCCTGTCTAGTGTCCTGACCAGCTGTTTTGGCATTTTCGTCGCCATGCACGGCAGCCGAATTTTAGCCTCCATCCATGAAACCGGCACCACAAGGAGGTGAAACGTCTCCTCCTTCAGTTTATGACGTTGCATTAAATTGTCGCAATCGGATTAGTCCAATGTAAGGTAATAAAATGATGTGAAATGCTCTTGGTCTAATGAGAACTACATTTTATTAGTTTGTGTGGTGTATCAGGTGGTGGAGATAGAGAAGGCGCATGATTATACCTGCCTCATCATATTCGGCAAAACTAGAAGAAGCATAAGTGGTGTAGCCGGAGCGTGCCCTTTCACTGCTACTGCATGACCTCCTGACCTAAAATTGACCAGTAAGTAGATATCCTTTCCACTATTTGCAAAGGTTCTTTTGATTTACACCAGCGAGCCTGACGGCTCACATTTACACTAATGTGAATGTGGATCGCTGCCTGTCAGTTACTATGGCAACCCCACTTTCGCGCCTTGATGTCTCCAGCGCTGAAGAGTGGAAATCGAAGCCTGTTTGAGGGGTTTTGTTGCAATGTCTCAGACGCCGGTGATGTGATTTATGGCGGCTTCGTGCGTGTTCTAGATGCGCCAGCCTCCTGCTTGCAGGCGAACACACCTCCATGATTTGACAAACCGACCAGTTGCGCACACAAATGTGAAGATATAGGACAGGTGATTGATGGCTTTTGAGTGCTAACGGTGACCCCATCTAAATCTTGGAGAGGGGTAAGCTCTGCGACTGTATTTACGCAAAAAAGTCTGGGAATTTGGTCTACCGGAGTTGTAATTTATTAGAGGCTTTGTTCAACACCGATTTTGTACATATGCCACAGCCTTAGCACTGAACTTCGACTGATTTGACCTCGTGGGTGTACTTCTCGCAAATTTTAATACCCCTTTAGGGAACTAGATCTGGCCCACCCGGTGGTTGGGTGTTCAGCTGCTTGAAGTCAATAAAACCTGTAAATTTCGAGTAACGACTTCGTGGACTGCATTGTATCTGATGCAAAAAGGGTACAACAGATTTTCACCCCATTTTTGGCCGGGTAAACATTTTTTTGCATACTGCGGAGGTCGGCGCAGCTCTGAGCTCATTCTCAACCGCTGTGCTCATGCTCTCCGCCATCGTGCATGAGTGTTTGGAGTGCTCGTTCTACTTGTCTCCTAAGACGGCTTTTCATGGGAGAGTAGAATGGCTAAAAAAGGAGGCGGAGGAGGAGTGAAAAATAGGGAGATGTGACAAGCCGGGTGATTTTGTGACCGTCTTTTGCTCCTTTCAATCGCATTTCCCCCTTGGGTGTAGATTCCGATGAGAGCGGTGAAAATTCGTGAGAAAATTTTCGAAGTTTAGGTTTTTTGTCGAGAAAAGATGGTGTTGATCAAGTCTTGTTAATTCCGGAGGGGAGAATTTGTGATGGCTTTGTGTTTCTTTGTGGACAGGTCTGCCACGGTCAACAATCGAACCAAAGCGCTAAAGAAGCACGGAAGATGATGAAAGTAACATTTACTTCCACCATAGCACGAAATGGCAACTATAGGGGAGCAAGTGGCACGCAAAAGTTTTGGACGGAGGTGTGGTCTACCGCGGACAAGTAGTCAGACCTTGTGACCTCTTCTCCACTGTGGGTGCAACTGACGGACGCCACATGGACCGGGAATTGTTTTGGTCATGTGTAAACGTCCTGCTGACTCATTCTGTCATCGCTCAGGTGGGAGGCGATGGAGCTAGTGGTGGGACGGTTGGAGGACGTGGGGGTTTAGGGGAATAGTGTCTGAGGTTTCCTCAGTTCTGTCACAGGACTCCACACACTCGTCCCCCCGAGGCCTCCTGACACTGGCGCCAGTCACGAAATGTCACACTTGGTTTTGATTTATGAAATGCGCTGTATTTGTTGCGCACAGCGGCTACCGGAACCAACTCGTTTATTCAACTGTCCACCTGCGAAAAATTCAGTCTTTCAGGCACGCGAGGTGCCAATGGGATGATAAGCAGGACAAGGGAGAAGGAACGGGAACTTTGATTCCTACCTGATTCTCGGGGGCATCAGACCTATGAGGTGCAATAGAGGCGAAATACACCCTTTTTTGCCCGGCAGAAAAATTTCTCCGTGTTCCATGCGAAGGCACTATCACTAACAGGTGGTTGTTTGACCATTTCATGGTGACCTTTTGATTGCTGCGGAAACCACTAACGTTGGTTTATCTTGAGAAAACTGTAATCTCTCTTGTTTCTACCAAACGGCACTTTTTGGTCCTCTCATGTACCGTCCACCTTTAATCCCCCAATTGATTTAATGAGGTTTTGGAACGAAAGGGACTTTAGTGCACTTCTCTTGCAAGTACTTCTCAACACCCAACACTGTCCGTCTCAAAATCCATTTTGTGAACAAAGAAAGCAAAACCTTACTTTCTATGCCATATGGATGTATGAATCTCAGCTTGTTCCGGATTTCATCCCTTATGCACGCCTGCTGTCACACGGGACGGAGATACATGATACCTCACTCACTGGAGGGTAAGGTAATCTCAATTTGGCCATTCACGTAATGGTTCTACTCACGTTTACTGCTGTTGCAACCGGCGGGAAACTCGAGATGATGATTATGATACATTCTGTTGCCTATCCCCTTTAACAAGGCCTGACTCAGTGCCACCTTTCCCCTCCCTCTTTGTATACCCTATGTCCTAACAGGGGGCGCAGATTTTGGGCAATTAGCGTGTGGGCTTTTATCAGGTGGTATGCAAGTCCGACGACAAGATCATTTGCATAAGGCGGATAAGTTCTTTGTACATGTACAAGTGTTCGTGCGCATCTGGCCAAGTTCAATTTGCCAATTTAAGCAACTAGCTGTCAGGAATCCGGTTCGTCCTTGTCGCATGCAGTAACTGGTTCCACAAGAACACCGCCATCATCATTACCACAGGAACAATGAGCACGTGAATTTAAAATGGCTTCATGGGAAGTGAATGAGAAAGTGACGCATTCTTATGCAATGCTGCAGAAGTGGAAGCCACTGTATTTATCATGCATGACAGGGTACCAGTTACAATTCTTTCCTATCCTCCGCTTCCTTCCTCACCTCCTCTCTCACCTCTCGGGTGCTTTACATTAGTAATTTTAACATGGGACTATTTGAAAGGGGGAGGAGAAGGGGCATTAAATCTCCTGCACTCGCTGTAGGCACGTCTGTGACAGCGAGAGAGGAGAATTTATCGGCGTTTTTTTTTTCTTGCAGCGAAAAGCACTGTGCTCGTGTGTATGTGTGTGTGTACATTCTTTCCCTGGAATATGAATCTTTTTGTCCTTCACGGATATCACATTTGCAAATCCGATCGCAGTTAATTTTAATGCTCTCCTCCTAGGCGATTATCTTTACTAATTATCATTAAACTGTTAGCTCTTTTCTAGCTATCGTAAAGTGATAAACGCCCACTTGTCTATTTTCTGCTGTCTAGATCCGCGTGCGAGTGCTGAGCGGTCAATTCGCGCAGATCTCGTGGAGCGTGTCTGACGACATTGAATGCAACGGCAAGTTGATGGGTTTCATAATGGAGGTGAATTCCACATACGAAACGTCCCAGCTGATAACCATTGCACCAGAGGTGAGGGACCAGAGGCTGACGGGTGCGTGAAAAGTTCTGTTTTCTTTCCAAATCTATGTCTGCTTGAATTACACATGGGGATATCTCTGTGTTTAGTTTTCACAGCCCCGTTTGTTGCCCATCCTGAGGGTCTGTGTGGACCCCGAGATTTTGAAGTGATTCAACTAACCCTAAACTGGGGGTCTGTACATTACAGGGCATTAGAGTTTTCCATGACCGTTCACTGTTTAATTTCTTGTGAAAACTTAACGAGCATAGCGTTCTCTCTCCATTCAACCCGAATATCAAAGCTGAATAAAATTTGTCAGACAAACATAAAAATGGAGGAGAGATAAGAGCCCGTACTTCTAAATGAACATTTTTCTACCCACGTTTAGCTACAACTCTGAGGGTGCGTTGGGAGAATCGTATATGTCAAGACCGCCATCAGGTGTAAATTTCCGAAAGTCAGAATGTTTGTATCACATTGTGTCAGAGTCCATTTTTACAGTCATCTTTAGATTTCTTCCATTCTTGTCAAATTTTAAGATACGTTGTTTTTCCCTTTAATCTGATGGCTTTCACTTCCAAAATGTCAAGACTCCAGTCGAGAAGGCGCCAAGAAACGAAAGCAATATATTAGTCCTCTCTTGGGTGACTTCTGTTGAAATCCTCCCCAAACGGGTGCTTCATTCGTGTGTGCGGTTGTGACAGTTACGACAGGAGAAACTTGGTGATCACTGAATTCCCTCCCTATCCTCTGGATGCTCTTTTGAGAAGCACCTGCAGGAGAATAGGATGATGATTCAGACCACCCACGATTCTTATTCCTCGACACTTTTTTCCAAAAAACGCAATTTGGGTACAATTATTTCCCTATCTCTACTGTCGTGATCCTCTCGGTGTTCCCTCCTGAGAGGTACTGTTAGAAAACGCGTTTAATCCTTACCCTGAATACCTATGATACTCTGATATATGTACCCCACGTAATTTGGGAGGTACTTTCTTAATCCCATGATGGACCCCCCCCTTGGTTGTCCCCGTCTACCTAAACCGGGAACTACGCGACATTTTTTGTGCTGTTGTTTTCTTGAGGGATATTCACCTATCACAAGTGGCAGCTTTGATGACTAAATTGCCTGCTAGCTGAGCATCACTTGCGTGAGAAATCACTGCCTAGCGGGGGGACTAGTTTGCTGACTTTCCATACAACGTCCAGTTTTGAAGATGACTATCTTTCCCGGTGAACCCTTGCCTGTCTACACACCAGTAAGCCAAACTGGGTGGGGGTTAGCAAACTTTGGTAAAAAACAACCAATGTTATAATTCTTTAAATAACCCCCACTGGGTCGTGATGAAAGGAAAATGTGACAACAGGTGTTGATGTTATAGTCCTGGAAATTCCTTCGAGTTTAGCGAACTGGGACTAAGGAATGGCATTAGAAATTGGGCCAGTAGTAGGACCTACTTGATCTTCCACACACAGGGCGGGTAAAATGAGACGGAGGTACTGCGACTTGAATGAGTGAGCGGACTCTCAACCCCTTCTGCTACTAGAACTGCGTGCCGCTAGAGGTGGCATGTGGGACAAAACCCAAACTCCAATGCCAAATTAAGTATGGAAACGACGGGCTATATGCGCTGATCCCATCGTTCCTTCTCACGGGGCGGGGATGTCAACAGGGTTCGCTTGAATATCTGCGGATAATTGCTTCACCCTGCCCCACAATCGAAGTCAAGTTTGCCTGCGAGGCCACACAAATGGGCTCGGGTGGATGAGAAGATGGATGAATGAGGAAATGAATTCACGGTTATCTAGTTGCTCTTGTTGAACCTTCCCGAAGGCTAGTTCGACCTCCTTACAAAGCACATTTAGGAGTCATAAATAAATAATTAGACCTGGCTTTTGAATTTTTCTGTGAAGGTACGGCATAAGAATTTGGGGCTTTTCCTGTATCCCTAACAGGCCCATTAGAAATATATCAGTTTTGTTTTAATTAAAACCCTCAAAAGTTATTTAACCAGCTTGAGTTGTAACTATGGCAGTTAATGAGGAGCCTGAAGCAGAAGCAGGTATAACAGAAGTGCGGAATCCCACTGCGATACTTAATGCTTGCAGTTCCCACCAAATAAGGCCACTTGAAAAACCGTTGGCAAATGAATGTACTGAATAAGCCTACGGGTTCCATCGTGTCCACTGAACAAGTGAATGTAAAAACTAGACTGTCTCAAGGCATTGCCTAGCAATACATATCATTGTATTGTTGCGCTGGAGGAAAAAATGGATTATTTCTCCTGAGGCGCGCCGCCCAAGTACCGGAATAGTTACATGAGATATTGAAAAGGTCCGGAACTGATGAGTCTTTAGAACCAAAAAGCTGATATAGGTATCAGGGCACTCGTGACTCGACAGGAAATCCTTAATGCTTGATTGACTAGGCTAGACTCTGACATTCTCCGCTTTCCATCGGCAGAACTGATGCCAGGTACGGGTTATACCCTTCGAATGTTGGCCAGTACTCGCGGCGGACAGGGCCGGTGGTCGCCACCAGTGCGCTTTCGCACCCAGGGTGAGGCCCGCGTCATCGACATGGAGGCTTTTGTCACCACCGTACCACCAACGCTGCCGCTGCCGCCGTTGCCACAGCTACTCCAGCCACAGGAGGGTGACCTCGATGGCATCCTTGAGGGTGATCTTGAGGCCACCGTGCAACCTGCTTACCTCGTACCGGATAAGGTGAGTGGGGGCGATCATAGACAGACGAGGGTAGCAAAGGCGTCTAATAATTACGCTCAAACTCATTAGAGTGAAAATTGTAATACAGGAGTCTGGATTTGTTGATGAAGCCGTTATTTACACGTAAAGCATTAATGCTCTCCATACATAGGGCAATGTCTGATGTCAAAGATTTATTAGGACCACATATGAATATGTTCCCTGTCCGGTGAGACGTGGAGGAACGGTTTGCTTGTCTGCTTTCTGTCATGATTTTAATCTCAGTGTCTTAAATTGGAGAGGAATGCCAGACCTTTGGAGCCGCCTTTGTTGTGTTCTCATTCTAGCCATCGCAACCAAAACCTTCCAGTATCTTTCTCTTGCTAAACTGAACTGCCTGCGACTGCTCATTTAGACTTCCTGTGGAACTTTTAATTAAATTGCTAAGCTTTTCGGTCAGTAAAAACATCATTTGAAACAAACCGTAGCAAATGAAATGAAAAACAAATCTTCACTAGGAAAGAGCGAATGACGATGAGCTCTGAGAGGTTGGTAGTGTATGGAAGTTATACGTATAAGGCCCCGGAGGGGTGCCCAAAGGCTGAAGTGTCGTTACTATACGTGCACTAGATGCTAGGATGCGAGATGTCAGTCAGTCATTCACCAAGTCGATTTGCTGCCTCCCTCTCCCTCTACGTGTGTGACAGTTGCGTTGTTTTTGTTTAATGGCGTCGTCAACACGCTTGAAGGGTGCAAAATAGGCAGCGGAGGGGAAGGAGGCAAATGAACAAGTGGTTGTTTCCGTGTCCCATATTGAATGATAATGATAAATGCCACGGGATTTTCGTGAGATAATCCACTCCGGCAACGTGCTTACTTCAATTCGGTCGGGAGTTATCTTCGTCACATCGTATCCAGGCCTCTCTGGGCCACTTGAGAAAGTGCTGAATGGATCGAAACCGTTACGCATTTGAAGGCGGGCCTTTATTTATTTATCTCTCTCCTTGGGTTTTGCAACAAAACTATTTTCAATCAATCAGACTGTCAATCGGAAGATAATAACCTCTTGGTGAAGAACTTGGGGAAAAACGGTGCCCTCATGGTACCCCGATTTGAGGGAAAGGAGAAGACATCGTAAGAAAAGTTTCTCAATCTGCATTTTTGACGCCTACAACAGTGCGGTGTGAAAGATCTCGCACTGGTAACAGAAAGTGATGAACAAAAGGAATGCTTCTGGGTACAGGAATCAAATGAGTACATGGCCTTAAGGCAGAAAGTCGCAGTCTGGGAGACACCTTTCAGACCCAAAATTTCTTAGGAGGCTTCAATTGATAGGGGATGAAGCCATTCTCAGACGGCACCCTCGCACAGCCAAAGTAGCCTTGTAGGAAAAGGAGGGCCTGGCGCGCCTTATGGACGCTGAGTTCCAATTGGCCATCAATGAGTACACAACCGAGGGATTTTGACCAACCTACTTGCGATGGATAAAACAGCATGGCCCCCAACAAACTGGGGTCTATTTCAGCAAAAGGTTGCAAACATCAACAAGCGAATCTTATTTTTCAACTTTTTTACAAGGAGGAATTTCGAGGCAGCAAGTGGAGGGAAGACTTAGATTTTGCTTCCTAAGGCATATCTTAAACGCTGGGATGTTCCATTGAGAAACTTTTCTTCTTGGACTAGGAGCGATAATTGCAGGACACTTCCATCAGGTACGAAACTATAATCCCATGAGAAACGAGGAGGGGCCTACCATATTTTCCCACTCATCTACTCTTTGGTGGTCAATGGATAAATAGGATCCTGGCTGGTAGCCATTTACAAACTCCTTTTCAACATAGGTGAAGGAAGAACATTTGCATAAGGAATGCACAGATGCCTCTTTTGCTGATTAGCTCTGGTTTTGGGGATATCATCTTTCCTTACCACTAGCAGGATACAGAGTGACATTTGGTAACCAATTTTGACCTAAGCGCGAATAAATTTAACCAATAGACGTAGGTTTAAGGAATTAAGAAGCCAAAATCAGCTACCATCAAAGGTGTAAGAGAAGAGGGACTTTTTGAATGTTCCTTAAATGGTCTCTTGCCAGTGGAGGGAGCCCCTGTAGCCACCAGGCTAAGTGATAAGTTGATTCAGTTTACGCTGCTTGCTGGAGTGTCACTTTGGCCACGGGTGTGTAAAAACTGCCCAAAACTTTAGTCACAGCCGCACGAGGGAAGAGGCGGCTTTGGTCCGCTTCATTACTCTTGCTTGCAGGCAATTTGCTACACGTTAGAGGCGCCTCACTTCAGCTACTGGGGATGGCAAAAAACGCACGAGAACGGTGACGGTGTAACAAGCAAGCCTCTGTCTACGGTGTAGGACACTGCCGGAAATTTACAGCGGCATCGTCATACCCCCTCTCGTAAATCGGTGCAAATTTATCTTCTTGCCTCGAGCCTTTGTCCCCAAGATTCACAGTGTTGCTCTGCTTCATTTTATTCTCAATCAAAGGCGATTTCGCTCCCGTAAGAGAGGGATTTTATCCCACACTCACAGAACAAAACAGACTTGGATTACTTTTAGCTGGAACGAACTAAAAGTTTAAATAAGATTCCACTTTCTCCCAGAATTAATTAATGTGAACTTTCCAGAGAGTCGGCATGGAATAAATCTTAACGGGTAAGTCATCAAGTTAGCATAGAGAGATTCTGCTTTTTAACTGGTCCCAGAACCTCAAGAGGGGGAAAGCGAGGAGTATGACTTGGCACAAAAGACGACACCATTGGCTCATCAACTTATTTTAAATTTTGTTGAATTAGTCTTCATCTTGCGGAAGTGACGACCCCGGCTTGCCGCACCACGAGGACCCGCAATCGTCGGCTTGTTCGTTTTCTCGTTCTCGGCGCTTGAATAATTAATTTGCTGCATCGGCGTTTCCAATCACCCATTCATGCACGTAGCTCGTTGAATTTTAACTTCAAAAATTCCATTTCGTCACATTGGAGCTTGGCAAGGTGCAAAGTATAAACGATCTACAGCGCAACATGGAAACAGTCTTCCATATATACGCAAGCAGTTAGCATTGCACCCCCAATTACCGATCTTCGGTGGTTTTTTATCATCTGTTACGTGGAAGACCGTTGAATCCACCGCCGGTTTTGTTGATGAAAAGAATGGTCTTTACTCATATTGATTCTTTGGCTTCCAAATACAATTCCAAGTAGGCTTTTTGACTGCCTATTAAAGGGAAAAATGTCTGACTAAAAAATGGATTCACCACGTCCGCTGCCAAGGATCTCCAAGGGGAACCGGCCATCAGAGTCGAGATGTTTGTTTTTCTAGAATGGCACTACTTCAGAGCCAAGAAAATGCGATTATCCTCAAATCGAGAACATTTAAAGGCTATTTCATGCCCCCAGACTCAACCATTCCTTTTGTGACACTCGAACTGATGATGCCAGTTACCATAGGTTGATTGGGGGGTGATGTCTTGCCTAGGAAACGTAGGTCCCAAAAGATCGATAGGGGACTTTTACCAGATTTTTTCTTTTCTGGGTCCTTTGAAATGTAGCAGCATCCTAGTCATTCCGTAGCCGGCGTACGTAAGAATAATATAATGCTTTAATGCATGGAGACGGTATCTGATGCGTTGGCGAGGCACCGTCCCTGCCCCAGCCACACAATCAAAACGAAATGGTGAATCACAGAAAACAGTGGCAACGCCAGACCGCATACTGGTTTAGTCACACCCTGGTACAGTCAGGCAGCCTACGCATCTTGATTGAGACGTGTCATTATACCACTGCATCCATCATACCAGGATGCACCATTCTCTCTCCATGAGAGAGGGCGAAAGAGAGATTTAGTAAGTCAATGGTAGTGCCCCCGGACGCCAAGTAGTGGTGCTTTTTTCCACGATGATTAGGTCCATGCGTTCACTACGAGGTATATACAAATGGAGGAAATATTTGACCAACTCTCGATTCTAGTAATGGGGAATCACGAGGAGCCCAAACTCTGGAGGCACAAAAATCGCCGAGCAGTGGTTCGATTCATGAGGGTCTACAATTAATCATTGCAGCACGAGAATAAGCTCGCGTTTAATGGGTGGAAGATTAATTAGTCAAAACAAGTCGTACACTTGTTGTCTTTTCTGACTTGCTATGGATGGAGTTGTGGTTTTGTTGCCAAGTAAGGCTTTATAAATATTTCGTATTTTAAGGTGATTACGTGAGGTCGAAAGTAGCAACTTGTCGCTTTCATTCTCCAAAAAATGAAAGTGGATAGTGGTGAAGTAGTCTGCATTTGAGAAATTCCAACTTATTAAAAATTTTGACGTAATGTCACCTTGTGTCAGTAGTGAAGTGTGCATTATTTACTTTATTTTCATTTCCGGAGTATGTCAGTTGCAAATGTTCTTTCTGCAAAGAAGGGAGACAGAATGACAGGCACTACATCCAAGTTAATCGCTAGCCACCATTCTGCGACGCACTTTTCTGGGAGAGCAGATCAATCAGCTCCTTAGAATCCACTAAAATTCTGCATTGGTAGACTACTTTCACTGACTGTTCCACTCCTGCTCCAGAAATAGCTTTCTCCGACAGCCATATAGGATGGATAGCGTGCAACTGGAACTCGGTGTGGTGTCAAAATTAGATGTGTCTTACGCGAATCCACTTAACGCCTTCTCCACCAAGGTCCCCGAGAAACTTTCAGACCTCATCACAATTACTTTGAGGGAGTCCCTGAACTACCTTCCACTCTTTTTACACTCCTAGATAACGGATTTTCGTGGTCAAGGCCTCATTAACGCTATTCACCTGTCGTGGACCATCAAATGGCGTCGCCATCACATAAGAAGCTCTTTTGAGCCCCAGAGTCACACCGACTGGGATGAGGGGGAGGTGGGAGTGGAAGCGGTTGAGTCCCTCCAAGTGGCCCCCAACGTCATGCTCCGTCTCATCTGGAGTGCTGGTGACGCTGAACCCGCTGAGAACATGATTAGTGCAGCATTCACCTCATATACCCTCAAGGAGCTCCGTGAGTACCCTACTAGAATGACTAGTTTTGCATTATCAAAATATTCTCAGGAGGAGTCTCGGAGGCAAGGTGAGGAAATTGAGTAGGATCCCCACGCCACCACTGACTAAGGTAATGAAACTGAGGGGAGAACTCACAGATTAAAGATCTAGATAATTTCTCCTGATTAAAATAAAAAACAAAATGACTGAATAAGAACGTAAATTAGATCGTGGATGGCGGACGGGCATCTAATGGGCCCGACACGCGACCAAAAATAAAAGTACAGGCATTCGGACATGACGCACTTCAAATAAACTTCCACGTCAAAAGCTACAGCCTAGAATAAAACTATTTTTGATTCAAAAATAGTAAACTAACTGTTTGAAGTGGCTAAACATGCAACTCATTGTTGAGCTTATAGGAGCAGGAACGCCATACCATGTCCGACTGATGGCGATCATACCCGGTGAGGACGGACCTTCGGCCTACACTGTTGCAACGCCAAAGTACAGAAACAAGGGAAATTCCTTTGCAAAGGGTTTGTCCTTTGTCCATTAATACATTTACTACCAGCAGCATACATTTAGCGTCCCAATTCACCTATCTGAGCCCTAAGTCACAAATATGTGACATCGAGTTCTTTGGCAAGTTGTGATAATTGGTTGAGCTTAAAACGGCGGAGTCGATGTGCGGTGTTCCTGGTCTGAGATGTCAGAGGTCTCCCCTTCCCTCCCCTTCTCACTTTCTTGTTTTCACAGCTGTATAATGATCGCCTCACTGCTGAGGTGAGTGCCTATTTATGTGTGTCGGCGTCTGTTACTCCCTTTAATGTCGATCATTTAAGCATAGATCGTAGATCGTGCCGATGTCAATGATTAGCATTCCCCCTGGCACCCTTCAAGATCTAATTATCTACGCCATTCAAACTAGTTTCAGCCAAAATTACTCCGCCCCACGGATGGATATAATGAGTCACATTATAGTCCCTTTCCTCCACCGTCAGATGTGTTGCAACAACTAATGTCTATCTTTTTCTAAAAAGGAATATCCTTCTTCTCCAGAGTAAACACAATGGCTCCAGCGTTTAAAGGTGTTTGTTAGTTATCCCCATTCTTTTTACCGTAAAAAATAATCTCTAGCATATGTGATCCTTCCCTCTTTTTTACGGGGAAGTAGATCTGCTACTGAGAAAGGATGGTATTTTTGACAAGCTACAACGCTAGTGTGGCATGGTGATGCTAATGCTTATTTAGTGTCAGAAACCTAGGGGCAGGTTAAACGGATCTCCCAACACTAGGTTTCTTGACGGTAGAATGAACCCCCATTGTCATCCAACCGGGCATTTGCCAACTTTCCGAGATCGGAACATCTCAGGTGTGAGGTCTTGGATAGCCTATCTAGTTTTTTTTTCGGTGGATCACGCAAACCAATTTTGCATTAGATTGACATAGAAGCTGGGCTTAATCGGTGTGGGAAATATTATGCACTACTCCGAAAAGATTGCTGATAGTTTTACTAGGGCTATGTTTGGGATTTGGCTGACTGACTGACGGTATTTGGCTGTCCAAATCGCTTTGATGCGAAAGTGGTGTTCTTAAGACCTTCACCATAACCAATATATCTGCACTGCAACAGTGAGCCACCGGGCCAGTCACATGCCATTTCTCAATAGCTCAAGTCCGACATGTCTTCCATCAAAACTCCAACGACGCGGAATGGAACCAACCGTCTGTGTGTGTGTGTTAAGCTTCCACTCATAAACATTCCAAAGATGTCAAAAGGCTGATGAATTCCAGCTGTCATTCATCTTACATTCCTTTAGACCTATCAAACCGATACGGTAGACTCTTTCATAACCCTCAAGTTGCTCTGAAAGAGTCTTATTAACTCACCTAAGGAATGGGAAACTGGCAATTTATGGAACAAGAGGTGAAGCAACGTCGCCATCCTGTAACTCGAACAAGTATTAGTCTAGCGCCTTTCGCTATCTATAGCATTCAAAATACGCATCTAAGCTATCTGTTCCGTATCCAACGTTTTCGGTTCAAGGCCACTGCTCTGTGTGTAAAAGGCCGTAGTTCATCTTTAGAGTTCATTAAATTATCCGATTTTCCGAAATTTGCCGTAATCTCGATCCCATCGTAAACAACAATTCAAAGAATTACGTTACGGGTGCGTGAGTTTATTTACATTTGAGGCTTTTCATGATGGTCTAGACAACCTCGAAGCCTCCAGGCGTCTTCCTATTCCCGTGAACCTCATGGCTCACGGAATAACCCCGACGGGGGCGACGTTGCAATGGGAGCTGCCTCAAGAGTTCCACAAGTCACGCTACAGGGACATCTTGGGCTACCAGGTGCGCTACTACCCTACCAGGCGGCACGACACGGGCGAGTCTGTGTTGGTGCCGTCAGTGGTCGTGCCAGTGTCCCCACTGGTGAAGAACGTTTCCGATCCAGAGGCCACTAGCGTGGTACTGCAAAATCTAGAGCCCGACACAGTCTACGAATTTGCAGTGCGCGTTGTCTCTCTGTTCAATGGGGCGCCCAAACTGGCCGATGCCTGGAGCATGGTACAGGGCTTTGAGACACCCGGACAGCGTGAGTTGGCACTACTTCCGGTATCGTTTTTCAAAGAAATGGAGCTCCTACTTAATTACTTGGTTTTGGGGTCATGTGAAGTATTGTTTGCTTGACGCATGCAGTGTGCGGGTGGTGATTTGTGTTGATGTGGATGGAGGCTTGCTGGGAATCAGTGCTGTCAGAATGATGGACAGAAACAACTGTTTGCTGCCTTTACTGTTACCTCTAATGCTTTTTATCCTCAAAAACTACTTTTTTGTGCATCTATCCAGTAATCATAAGCACTATCCTTATCCAAGTGATTCATCGCATCGTACGACTGATCACAGAGCTAAGAAAGTTGATTGTCCTAAAGAAAATAACCACAGCCTGTATTGTGTGTAGCCAGAATATGCTTAATCCCCATTATTATGGGCTATCCTATTGGCTTCCTCTATTTCAATTTTTTAGCGCAGGTTTTGGCTGATTTAATGGAGTTTTCAAAATATCCCAACCGCTGTGTATCATTCGTCCTTTGGACATGGCATGATGGCATGACAAAATCCAGTTTTATTCGACATTCGAATATTTTCTTATAAAGGAATTCGTGTATCACGTCACCTTTTTTCTTCAGTGATAAATCTCTCCACCTCACAAAGCATTTACTTCGGTTGGAAGCTAAAGTTATGCCTGAAGGAAGCAGGCTAAGCTTGCAATACGGTGTCCCAAGTAGCATATTGACAACCTCTTGCAGTAAGAACTTTATTTCCTCCTGAGAGCAAGACCCTGCTAAATTACTCATTTTTGACTTGTTGGTGGGTGTTTTCTGTTCCTTTTACTTGACTCAGGCAATCTCCCATGCTGCAAGATCGGCCTTGCTGGTCCGTGTGCTTGGATGGTGATCTTTGGGAAAATTGCCAACTTTAAGTAATGTTTTAGCAGTCATTCCTCTAGGATTAGATTTATTTCAAGATCACTCAGTCCTATTTTCACCACAGGCAGCTCTGAGCATCAAAAAATTTATGACTGACCACACAGTGGGTTAGTCGAAGGATGGGAAGAATTCGCGGCTGGGAGCAGTTTAGTCCTGTGAAAGGCTTTTAGGAAGAGTGATGGATAGTGATCAACCCAAAAACCGCTGTAATGGGAAACAATGTATCAAACCACGGACTTTTGCCACAGTTGACGGCGATAGAGCACAATCTCCAATGAGCTACTGGGAACTGTCGATCCTCGGAGCGCTTTCCATAATCTTGTCGTCTTTCACATCTACTGCACACCTCGCTGCTGAAAGGGTGCATCTTTGTTTTTGTGTCTGAGTCGTCGCACTCGCCAATTGGACTTGCGTAAGAAATCTTTCATCAAAAGAAGTCGAGAACGGATCTACTTCATAACCCAGCTTGTCAAACTAAGGTTGCTGAAACCGGCTACCACGTCTTGTAGGCAGTTAACCAACTTTTAATCCTTAGAGATCCTTCCACTGCCTCATCAGCTCTTTCCCGACCTCTTGATCTCCTCGTTGCTGGTTTTAAGGTGACAGATTTTCGACGTACATTAACCATCATACAGTTGAAGGCAGACCCACAAATACAGACCTTATTTCACTCCATCCGCGCACACAAACTCATTTTCTTCTCTACTGTGCAGGTCCGGAATCTCCACCGCAGAATATCACAGTGAGTGCAGTAATGACTGGCTATCTTACCCCGCCCGACTCTCTGGGTGACAACGGTGGCAGTAGGGATGGTGCTAGCATTCTGGTAAACTGGCATGGTGTAGCGGAGGTAGGTGCGCGCGGCCTCTACCACCTCTACATTTCGCCCGCCGACGAGTTTGGTGCACCGCGCACCCGCGGGTGGTCGCAGCAGCGTTCACCGAGGAGACAGTGGAGCAAGCACGCGGTGTCAGGCGGGCAGAACTCCACTGTATTGCACAATCTCCGTACCGGTCAGCCTTACCTGCTCGTCATGAGTGCACAGAACCGTTTTGGGAGGAGCCCACTCTCTTCCCTCTGCTTCTTTAGAACTGCTGATGGTGAGTTCACTGATGTCCTCCCCCCTCCATTTCCACCTCACGAGCTTTCTGAATTCCTCCATGAAGAGGTGGCGCAGAGGTGTGGAAATGTGATACACTAAGGTTGGTGGGTGACAACCTAGTTCAGCACCAGCGTTGTTCCAGAACTCATTTACAAGACAGAAACAATATCCAGACGTAAAATTGTTACAGCAACACAGGAATGTCCTAGTTGTTGTCATTAGTGTGACAGACCAAATACGCAGCCTCAAATGTATGTTCCACATTTTTGGGTTAGGCACTGTGACACCATTCTTTCCTCGAAAAGTTTAACACTACCTCCCTAAAGTCTAGGGAGTGCTTCTAATTCCTTTTTTTATTGGCAAGAGCTCACTACAGCACTCTGCCATTCTTCATTGTAACGGATAAAACAAGCAGAGATAAATCGGACTTAACAACACGACTGTAAAATCTCACCCAATTAAAGTAAACTCTTAATAGATTCCCAGCTCCTGAGTTTGCATTTCACTCGGTTTGTTCCTCATTCCACTTCCTTTGAATGCAGAAAGTCTGAGAAGTTGACATGGGAAACATTTGGAGTTTAAACTCGAACTTTAAGCAGCGAGGTGAGTGACTTGCCTTCCTGGGATATGAATAAGTGTGTCTGACGTGTTGGTGTTGTTTACCTTTCCCAAATGCCTTAGCATTTCTGCGACTTCGAAGGCAGCTAGGCTTGCATATAAGCACAAACCTGACCAGGTTGAACCTGAGGGCGTTCAATGCTCGCGGAGTGTTAAAGTCGAGTTAGCATGACGTCTCATGGAGTGGCCCAGATGTAAGCGGATATACTGCCGAAAAGCCAAACATCATTTCGGGTGGAAACATGCCCCCAATTTGATGGCGAAGTTTTGAGGCCACAGAGTTTGTTTATTCTGGTGTGCAGACAATCATCATTACTGTCTGGGAAGCGAATAAGGCAGAACTTCTGTACCGGCAACGGTTGCGCTTTGGAACTGGAACTAGACAACAGTAGGAGAAACTCATCGATGGATTTATCTAGAACTGTTACTGTAGCTTATCCGAAACCTTGGCCGATCTACGCCTAAAAGGTAAAACATTACAACCCCAGGTGTGTGTTCATACTCCAATCACTTATTACTTTTCCGATTCCTCGATGCTGATTTGTACTGCTGAAGAAGCTACGAGGTGTACGCATGTGGAAGCAGCTAGAGGCCGATGTGGAGGCTGGAAGGGTTAACGTAGTCACATCTACGCTTAAAGCGAGTATAATTATTCTGCAACTTCATCGGAAGCTCAAGTGGACGCTAGACGGGCTCACCTCCCTCGCCTGCCCACAAGTGGTGATCCTGGTCGCAAGCGCAACCAGCCTTTGCGCTCTGTAAACAATGCATCAGGCTAGGAGATCTGGCTCACCTGGAGGGTGGAGGAGGGTCGTAGAGAGGTGGCAATACCTAAGCCATAAATCTCGCAATGATGGTCGGTACCCCTCTCCCCCTCCCTCTCTGTTATAAACAAAGTGCTGTGTATATGATTGCGCAGTGTATGACTGGGTGGTTGCAATAGCATCGGAGGGGCCAACGTAAAGATGGGTTCCATAACTGAACACCTGAGGCGTCTGATCAGCAGATCTCATTTGTCAGTTCTCTGGGATGTTTGAAGTATCAATTATGGTTCTGAATTTCTAAATGAGCCCTAGTGGAAGCAACAGAAGACATATTTACGGAAAATCTGCCCCCAACTATTTGGTCTCTTTCATCAAAGTTGATCGTTAGCTTTATTTTCCCTTCATTGTGATGCAGTAACGAGAGGCTACTTAAATTCTTCTTGAGGATCTTCTATGGCCTATGAATTCCGAAGATGGCTTTATTGTTAGCAGACAGAAATGCGGGAGAGTTCAATTCTGCCATCAAGGAGGCCAAATCTCTCGAGATTTTAAAGGTCTGGCGTGGTAACGCAAAGAAATTAGTATTATTAGTTCCTTGAAATCACTTTTAGTCCGGTTAAATCATACGCACTCAGATTAATGCCATTGGAGATTTCCAAAGAGGATGAAGGAAATGCCTCTTATCGACACTATGCACCAAACCCTATGTCACTTTCCCCTCCCCCTACTCCTCCATTCTAGGTAAATATGGTGGTTTTATTTGGCGCAGAAATCAGCTTTCTTTTGATTACCACAACATTATGCATCCAACTGCCTAATTGCCAAAAGAGAAAGTTCCTGTTACCTTGTTTATAATCTTTTGGCATGAAAACTATAACCCATTTTAGGTGCGAAGCTTTCCTTACCTTTGTAATAACAATAGTATTTTTAAACACTTTGGCGAATCTGCATTAAGACCTATTTCGAGGGCACTGAAAAACCTGCCTACCTGCCATTGTGATTTCTTACATCGGAGGTCAAAGTATCGCCCAAAAAAGGATAGAAGGGATTGTATTAAGATCTGTTTGATCTGCAATTTTATTTACCTTGAACCAGTTGATGCAACGCATTGCACGTCGGAATGCTTTCACCTCTCCCCTTCTCTGCAATAATCACAAATTCACCAACCGAATTGGGATCCAGTGACTGATTTGCATTGACCGAACCGTTAATTAAGCCTAAAATGTTAAGTCCTCGTCCTTGCGTTCCAGTTTCCGCCTTTTGAATAGTAGTTCTGTAACCCGTTGATAATATGAATTGGTGATGATTGAAGCATCTGCAAAATGCAGCAAAAAATACATTCAATGCTCACCATTATCTCAATAAGTTGCGGGGATAGAACTTACTACTTAAATGTAGCAAGTACATTGTTTATTACAACCTTTTGCAGCGGACGGCTCCGGTTTCATATACCTGAATACGCTCGGCGAGAGGTACGAGTTGGAGAAAATGACGCCTTTGAGAATTCAACGCCTCTTTGAGGAGTTGGAAGTGGTTCTCAAAACCCTGAGATCTTCCGATGCTGCACGAACTGTTGCTCCCGACCTGAGCGACGGAAGCGTGAATGATAGACAAAATCAGTGGATCTTGGTCGCTGCAGTGCTTGCTGTCATAGCTATCATCGTTATCATTCTGGCAGTGACCATCGTTCTCACTCGCCGATTTTCGCGCAGTCGGTTGGATGGGGTTAGGAAGGAATATCTTGTTGAAAAGACCAAAAGGTACATTTCTTCGTAAACCACTAGCTTGTCCATAGGATTCTTTTCTTTCGCACTTTGCCCATCTTGAGCCCAAAAATGTTGAAATATAGCTCAAGTTTTAACAATTTTTAGCAATAATTGTGACGTCAAATTTATTCCTTAAGCGTCATAAACTAGAGTGGCACCATTTCGGACATAAAGGTCCTCTAATAGCGTCAGGGCATGAAATATAAGGCAATATTCTGAAAAACGAAAACAAAAATTGTTTATGCTTTGCTGTTGGCTGCTTTCTATCATCCAGAATCGCGGAAAAGGGAGACGTAAACTCACCAAGGACTCCAACAAGCCACAACAACCACCAATTGGGCTCACCGAGTTGCTCTGAAGTCGGGCTCACTCATCGAGTAGGCGGCACTGGCTTGGAAAGTCTGATGCACGTCCCACCACCACTGCCTCCAGTGAGTTTCGAGAACTCCACCGGTTTTAGTCCCTACGCAGGATTGCCTTTCGTTATGGACAGCGGCGTTGGCGTTAATGGTGGTGGTGGTTTCAGTGTCGCATCCAGCTCGGTGCATAGCCAGCCCGTTCGCGTGCACGCCAACGCCCCGACGGCCTCAGCTGGTGGCGTGGCAGGCCGAGGGGGCTCAGAGTCGGACTGCCGTACCACGCCAATTGATAGCGACCTTGAGAGCGCCAAGTCGGCGAACCTGGTGACTGCCTTCTCCTACCACCAAGCATATCACCAACATCCGCTTCATCAAACTCTCTCACCGGCCCGACAACACGGAACCGCCTCACCGCCCGTTGTTGCTACTGCTACGGCAGAAAAACATTCGGCTCTCGGACACCCTGGTCTCATTGGTGAGCCGTTTGCTCCACCTGCTTCTATTCTTACGGCAAAAGGGCCCAGTAAAATGCTTGTAAACCCATACAACATGATTTTTAACTGTTACTACCTAGACTAGTCATATTAGGTCACTTACGGAATGGAAGTATTTTTGAGTATTAGCTCATTCAATTCAGTTTAAATAGAACATATGTGGGCGTCTTTATTGACCGCGGATGCAAATATGTTTCCTGAGAATCCTCAGATTTTTGGTATTGAAAAACGTACCGCCATAAATGAGAGGGAGAAGACCCCAAGGAGTTCACTATTGGTTGGATTTTGGACTTTTTTAAAGTAGTTTTCAGCGCTTATAATCCCAGGCAAAAAAACATCCTGTTAAGTTTCAAAATTTGGACAGAGGAATAAATGAGTGGGTTGGGAGACTAAGAGCGTGAGCGACATGGACAGAATTTCAGATCACTGCTGAGAAGACCAGATAACACGACTCCAAAAAGGTTTCACACTCAAGACTCCTGCTCTTTTTCATTTTGTACCAGGCTCACCAGATATGCGGGCAGTGGGTAATGAGGGTAAGCGTGGAGGCTGCTACCGTAGCTACCACCCCCACCAACCAGTACCTCTGCCTCCCAAAATGGAGGATCTCTTCACCCCTCCTAACAAATCGCCGGGTCGACCGCTGATACTGCCCTACCGCGAATTGGGCCGCCTTGAGACGGCGGGAGTGGTGGGGGCAACGGGGAGCAGCGAGTCCGCTGAGGCCTCGCGCTCCATCGCGGGTAGCAGCGGATATGACAGTGGTGCGCCCACCAACAACCAACCATCGGGGGTTGGCGACAGAGTCCTAACGGAATCTTTCATGGCTCGTCATCAACCGCACCTTGACACCCACTCCGTCAACAGTGGCACTCTTCCACGCAAATTTAGTGAGTTGACGCCATATGACTGCGCTTTGTCCTTGCATATGCTGCTTTGGCATGAAGGATCGAACAGAAAGCTAAGTTCCATGGCCGCCCTCTTATTAAAAAGTGTTGTGTATGCGTCTCTAAGAGGATTTATTCAATCTATGCTTTGGGTGAATAGTGGAATTAAACACTCCGCCTCTATAATTGAGACCGCAGATCGTGTTTGCCGGCTGGTAAACTTGTGGGTTTTCCAAACTATGAAAGAGATTGATTAAATACTTGCAAAATTGGCATCAATTGGGCAAATGAGAGCAATGACGGCGTATGCATTTGTAGTAGAATTTAGAGAATTTCACGTTCTCACAGTCTACTGATTGGTAAAGGAGGTAGGAGGGAGGGGCTATTGGGAAAGTAATAAATACATGTTTTGTCTTCCTATTTACTGATACCTTTGGAACTGAACCCCGAAAGCGTGGTGAGTGATCATTTTTGTCTTTGTCCTTCACAGTTCCTCCCACGTCAGGGAGTGAGCGGTCCAGGCCTGACGAGATGCGCTATCAGAACCATGCTAGTATCAAGCTGAACTCCTACTCCAGCGTCCTCCCGATCCCTCGTATCTCTGCTCTTGACGAGAGAAGTCTATCCGTAAATTTTTCCAACTTTATTAGTTTATTTTTATAAAAGCCGTCGTTTTTGATGTAGTTGCCGTTCTTAAAGCAGGTTCACTTGTCCTACTCTAATTTCTTTTGATCGGCGTAGTTGAGTTCTTACTCCACTCACATTCCAGTGCTTTAAAGCGCGCCTTTGTAGCAGTTGTTTCCTTGGCTATGAGAAAGGCCAGGACACCTATTTATGGCGCCTAAATTTTAAGTCAAAGTGTAACCTATTTTTTGCCGTGTCAATTTGCAAACCTCTTTCTACCGATCACACTAGACAAAGAGGAGTTACGCATGGAAACGACTTAAGAAAGCTGAAAAGATGTGCTGGGAGTGCGTTAAGAAAACGGGTTTACTTTGAAGTGAACAAAGCACACTCCAAGTAATACAAGCACATGCGTTTTGTCTGCCCATGTTGGAGACAGCCGATCGAGGTGGGGAAACCGACCACATCCGGTTGGTAGAACTGTCAATTACAGCTGCACTCTTGGAAGTGGCCTCATTGGTTCCTGAGTAATCACCGACCCTAAGTGGTAGTGCTGTGCTGAACAACTGACTCGTGCGCTCCTTTATCTAAATCGGTGCTTTATTAAATCTGTTAGGCCAGACGCATAGAGCTCCCTTTTTTCTCATATTTTGGCGCCTCGATCCCAGTCGGGCTTTAGAAGGAGACACCAACCGCAAGGAGGTGATCCTAACCGAAATTCGGGTCATTCTTAAAGTAAGGGACTTATAAAAAATAAAAGATAGATCCTAGGATAACAATACAGAGGTAATCAGTAGGCATCCAGAGCAAAGATATTGCCACTAAAGTCTGTTATGCTACAGCATTCCACGTCTTCCCATCAGATAGTCAGGTTCGTAAGAACGCAGACCGGACAATGGACCGTTTACTAACGGGTATAAGTTAGTAAGAAAGATCCAATTTTCCGAAATAGTTTGAATTTTAATAGCGCATATCCTCGACTACACCCGTTTGTGCCTCTTTCAAACACGTCTTCTGTTCCGCAACTATTCCCCGACATAGACTAAGGCAAAAAAAATGCAGGGAAATCGTGTAACCATCACAGGCAATGCTGAAGGGTAGTAGAAGAAGTTGTGGATGACCGAATAACAGCCGATTGTAATCCATACAAAAGGAAGCTGTCAAATGCGAGACTCGAATTGAGACCGAGGTGATCGAAAGCACACGAATGCGTACTCCATGGAAGAGGAAGTATGCAATCAAATCAAATCAAACACTCCTCCATCATGTCCAGACCTCAGGGGATGCAACACTTTCTATAACCTACATGTGTCTAAGGTGCCCAAGGGAGTGTCTTTTCTAAGGTGATAAATGATTCGATGAGTTTAATTCCTTTCTGATAGCACGCTCGATCGGAATGACATCCTTGTGCCAGAGGACGTGATATTGGTGCCAAACGGATGTTTGGCAGCACTCGCCCACACCTAAGACGGACAATGATGTAAAGAGTGGCGCAGAATCCCGAGTAAACTGATTCTGTCCCGAGAAAAGCGGCGTCAACGAAATTTGGGGAAATTTGGTCAGGCGCAAGGTTTCGAGAGAAGAGAATTAAACTCATGAGGTGAAGGATAAGGTTAGAATAACGAAAGCAACCTTAAGCCGTTTTTTTCAGGCAATGGGTGACACCAATGCCAGTGTGGTATGCCAATTTTTGCACTAAGCAAATTGTGCTATTTGGTGTCGGTTCTTCTTTCTATTAGATAGGCAAAGCAGGGAAGGTGTGTGGTACAGAAGAGCAACAGTCATCCGGTTTGAGCCCCACTTTGTGGGACTGCTGGCATTGCAACTGTTGGCCACTTGTAACGTTTCCCTTTTATCTACCCCCATTGCAGAAAGTCTACAGCACCGAGGAATTGACGGAGGAGATGGCAAATCTGGAGGGTTTGATGAAGAACCTCACCGCTATCACCCAAAATGACTTTGACTGCACCAGCGAGGTGTAGTCGATGAGATGCTCTCTACTGCTGATAAGCACCGATGCGCTAGCCTTTCTCTGCCCCCTCTCTCTCCCTTCTACTCTTTCTTTTGTCATCATTTGTAAATATATAACCATATTTTATCAAATCAAATGGACTTTTGCTCTCGTCTATGCACAACACTACATTAGGAGAGGAGATCCGTTACGTCACTTGTTTGAGAGAGGGAAATGACCTGCCTTGACTGGTAACAGCAAGGGATGGTCAAGCTTACCTTGCTTGATTTAAGCTTGGTCATGAAGATGAAAGGTAGGTAGTCGTAAGGCCGTTGAAGTTGATAGGAGGTCTGCGTATCCCTAAAAGTGGAGAGCAGGACACTCGGGTTGGTAAGAGTAGAAATAGTATTATGCTGCCGGCCACTTCTGTCTTTGTCCTGCTCTTCATCATAGGGATAAAGTGTTTGCTTGGTGAAAGAGAGATAGAATCAGCAAAGTTGGGTGGTGGCCAGTGGCTTGAGAATCCAGCAGTATACTACTGGGTGATTTTATCTGGTTCCATTGTATCGCAGCCACTAGACAGAGCAAACGCCTACGCATTTAACCATGGCAATCAGGAGGAGGCTGGTAAATCGCAAATTGCAAACTGATTTACATCTGCGGGGAAGAACTGAAGGGCTGGAGGTGCATGGCATGGAAACAAGTGGCAATGAGCCGCATGGATGGCCTAGGGCTGACGGTACTTGGAGTCCGTAAAAGCCCAAAACAACCAAATGATCGGAAAGTAGATATGTCTTCCTGATGCTGAATAAACAGCCTCTGTATACACGGTGATTTTGGTCCGTTTCATTAGCTCTGCTTATACTGCCCTGTGGCGCTTGAATCAGTCCCATGGAAGAGAGCAAATAAATGAGTTTGAATACTAAATTCCCGACTTTTGTAGAGTCTGTGACGATACCGACAGGATGTGACATAAACGGAACGCGAAATCGGAGGAGTGGCAGCCGGAATTATGAGTGGCTGGGATGTCTATGTAATTTAAATAAAAAATCTTTCTAATAATTACTTCCGCTCTTATTTTGGCCTTTGTCATTTGGAAGCCCTCTGCGTCAGTCACCAAATGGTGGATGATAGCCTCAAAATTGCCCGTGAGACCGAAATGAAGATTCTGCAACAATTTTGCATCACTTAGGGGAGAATTCTTATTTCTGACAACAATAATGCATTAAGTAGAATTTGATGTATTTAGAGGTTTATTTGTTTAATGGTGCCCAAGGCTGATTAATGTCCTACTACGAATACATTTCATGCATGTCAAATGCTATTCGCACAACCTCTGCCTGAAAGCCAAAAACATCTAAAAAGAAGCAAGAGAAGTTAACTTAATGAAAAAATTTTTGCTTTTTACCTCTGCTTGTCGTTTTTCTGCTTCATTGGCGCCTAACCACCTACCCAAGCTTCTTGAAAATAGGTGGTATTCATCCCTATATGGTCCTCGCGATTAACCATTGAAATACAAATATTGCAGACGACTATAATCCTTCGAACACGGTCTCGCTTCAAAACTTACCATTATTTGGGTGTAGCTTGCAGGAATGGGTACCATTCCCACCAGGTGTCCTCACGTTAAGGCATGTAGGTGTAATACCTCCCCTATGTCATCAGGATTGTGGCTATGGCCTAGTAACTCAGCTTACCGCTGTCATTAAATCAGCTTCTACGTAATCCCCACTGGCACTATAAGGATCGATGTCAAATTTACCATCGCTTAATCGGAGCTCAGTAATGAGCTCTTGATCTCAAAGTGGGTCACATTTCAGGAGTGATATTTCCCATTAACGATGACAAAAATGCATTGTTAAAGACAAGCACTCAAGGTTAGAGGAATTGTACTGCGAGACTAATGACTTGATTGGCCAAGCGCCAGCCAGTAGAATTGTCGCACGGAAACCTCAGGGACAAAGGCCCGTGTCAACTTGCTCATTCAGCTTCACTCAATACAGTATCAGGCAGCCATGGGTGGTTGTACATTGCCAAGTGAAACGAACACCTCACCCGCCCCTTTTACCTCTCCTCTTCCGCACTCCAACAACAGCGACGTTTTCGAAAACGATGCCTCTCTCCATCTAGCCCGCGTTATCTGCACTCAAATCCTCATGCCCATCGTCTGCGTGGTGGGCATGGCTAGCAATGCATTGAATATTGTGGTACTCACCATGGCCACCATGCACTCCTCTACCTCGTGCTACCTTTGCGCGGTGGCAGTGTACGACCTCCTCTACAGTCTCACTGGCTTACCTCTCACCCTGCGCACCTATCCGTCTCTCGAGATGTCTTCTATCTACATGAATGCTCTCTCCTATCTCCTGCCTCTGGGCAACATGTGGAGCAACATCACAACCTGGCTGACCTGCGCCTTTACCATCGAGCGCTTTATGGCCATTTCCACACCCATGAGCTCACGCAAGAGCTTTTCCATCCGTCGGACCCAGTGAAATATCGTTTTTATCAGCCTCCTTGCCGCCATCATTACCCTACCCGACTTCTTCTCATGGGGAGTTCGAGAGGCCTGGAGGGCGTGTTCCCACGTTGCCGAGAGGTCGAATATCAACCACACGTCGATGAACTCCTGTGTGGAGATGTTCTACATCTTTGAATCAACTTGGATCAGTGCCCAACTCGATCGCTTCGGCTGGTCCTATGCTATCGTGGCACTTTTCGTTTTCATTCCACTTATTATTTTGACTATCTTTAATGCCCTTCTTATTAGGTCGGTGATTAAGTCGTATCAGGATAAAAAAAAACATTCTTGCCGGGTCAGTGCAACTTAACTATGAGGGGAGTAGAGAAGCAGCGCATGGATAAGTGGATAACAGGAAAGTACTACCAGCAGGGCTCAAGCCGAAGGCCTGCACCATCCGGGGCCTCTCCCAATGAGACATATTCCAACAAGAATGCTTTTCTTTCACCGATTTCGGGAGGTATGGTAGCAACAACGAGTAGAGGATGCACCACAAAGACCTGTTGGAATTACTACCACTCCCCGTGCAGAAAACGTAATCCCAAAAGCAAGCATAATTTGTCCTTTCAGCGATCTTCGCAGTAGGACAAGCAGTCAATCACCATCACACTGATTGCCGTGGTGGTGGTCTTTTGCATCTTCAACGCACCCAGTGCGGTGGTGTATCTGATAAGATCCTGGTTTAAGCCCTCTGATGCGCGACTCAAGATCTTCGGCAATATCTCCAACCTTCTGCTGATGCTGAACGCATCGGTAAACATTTTTCTCTACTCCCTCTTCAGTGCTCGCTTTCGACGGTCCTTTCCAATGCTACTGAAGAGATATGGTTGTTGAAGATAGAAGAATCACAATTGTCATTGCTATTTTCATTGTAACCCGCTCCATCTCGTGGAAAAAATACCAAGGTCTTTCGTTGTCTGCGTTTGGAAAACGTGATGCTGCTATCTTTCTTGTGTAACCTGTATAAAGTTAGTTACCACTTTATTTGCCGTGTAGCGCAATGCCCCTTATTTGTCATTTGTGGTTAGAGTGATCTTTGTGACGAACGCAAGTGACCTTCTGCCATGTTAAACGTTAGATCTAGCGCGTCGACAGGTCTTTAACTATGAATTCTGTGTCCTTTCATCTTCCGATCCAAAAAAATATTGTAAATTGCTTAACATGCCAATCACTTTATGAGGTTTTTGAGACAATCAACTGGATTTTCAGTGCCCTAACAAGTTTTCTATCAGATAGACGCGTCGTAAGAATGCCGAAAAGTTTTTCACATGGTTTCACTTTTTGGTGTCCCTAATCAAGTGGGAATTGTTTCCAGTGGCAACAGATTGGCGATCAAGCCTCAACTGATGTGGGTTACACACCGCATTAAGGAGATCTTGAAGGTCCATTTGTGGTCAATTTATCTTATAGTTGAACCTCAAATAGGGGCTCTCGAGCACTGCGAATGGTGCCTGAGCAAAAGAATTAGGAATTTTTCTCCGTCTTGCGGTGGTTAGTGAAAACTCGCACCAACTTTTGCCTTCAAAAGTGAAATTGAGAGCTCTTTTCATGAGCCCGAGGAGCTAAAAGCATATAAGAAATCCAAATGACGTAAACCCACCCAGACTAGAACTTTCTTACCAGTCATTACACCTTGTTGGTGGCTCCAGCTATGTGTGAGTCTGGCTGGCATGCCAAAACTTCAGGTTCTGACATTAATGAGAAGGGATGTGGTAAATCACGTGAATGCAGGAATTCACTGCTGACGGATGGTGGATGCAGGAGGGAATCGTCGGATGCAACAAGAAACAAAAACAGCAACAACAACTATCCAAACTACCACAATACTGAACCCCGTAACCATGTTGAAGGTAACAGTTGGTGGATTTTGAATGATCCCCAAGAAATTGCTTCAATTAATAATGCATATGTTGGGCATCGGTTAAAAATGACTTCAACTGTAACCTTTGCAGTCAAAGGGTGGAATTTTCAATTTTCAATTTTCAATTTTCAGAGGTTTGTACGAATTAAACTCGGTCTCCTAGCATTTGCTAGCAAAAGGAATTTATGGCAGTGGGGTGGGGGGAGGGTAAAATAGAATACTCTTGCGCAACTGAATGAGAAAGTAGTTGATTCTCCCGGTGGCTACTAATTAAAATTATTTCTGCTAGTTCAGAGAATGCGCCTACCACAAAGGACAAAGTTCTGCGTTCGTTTCAAACGGCTCCATCCTCAGCTGCATTATTAGGAGGCACAGTCATCTACCCCACGAGATTCCTGCTTTTGCAAGTTTGTAGCACCCCAAAACTCCCCCGAAGACGAAAGATGACAAATACTAGGCAGCATGTGTTTTGGCGACGTACAGGAAGCGCTTGGAGCGACTGGCATGGCCAGGGTGGACCCCTAAGCACCCGCGAGACCAAAGTGAAGAGTTAAAAAAACAACCAAAGTATCACAGTTCACCTCAAGAATTGCTGCCACTGTGTCAGCCTCTAAGTGTCAAGTCGCCCCTATTACAACTCGCCCTAATATCCGGTGTGCCGCTATTAAATTCGACGGACGACAATGCTAGTGGACAGGTGGATGCAACAATGCGTATTGATGGATCCGGTTTCTTCTGAATGAAACCGGACTCCTACCCCTGCAGAGCGTTTCAAGCCGAGCAGACAGATTGGAAGCTCGCTTGCAGCAGGTTATTTGTAAAACAAGATTTAAGTCTGCCGTAGCGATCTTATCTGCACTGTTGTGGTCCCCGATCCAGAGCATAGCGGACAGTCATGTAGATAGTCAGTGAGTGAAGCAACTATCTGACCTTTGACACAAGGGAGACAAATCATCATGAGAGAAATTTCGGGAAGTTATCAAACACGGAGACTCAAGACAGCTTTCAACACAGAAGAGTTAAATGGCGTATTGAGTTGAAGAGGCTTTGTGACTGGGAATGTCACATCATTGGGTGTTACGGGACCTGTATACAGCAAATCACTTCGATATTAAAAACAGGTCTTCATTGTGGACGGCTCAGCCATAGTAAATGGTCCAACAAGTGCATGAGAATGCAGTCGGGGGACTGTATTGAGGAAAAAATGCAGCCTGCACCTATAAACAAGAATTACTTACAGTTGACAATCCAATTTAACCTTAACCTTCTTTGTATTTGGGGATTTTGACTTTATTATTACATGGAACACTTTCGATTTTCTTTCATCCGGTTTTATTCTAATTGGATCGCGGTATGACGTGACAGCTGCTCCAAGAGACCACTATTTCCTCCTCCATATGGTTTCTGATGGGTTGAGTAGATCGTTAGGTAGCATTCTGCCTTACCACTTTTTTGGATAAGAGCGCATGATTTTGGTGGAAATGGTTAATCAAATTTAGAGTCCCGTGTTTTTAGTTTACCTTTCCAAAGGATGATTTTGAGCTTTTTCTTCTCTCTGCATATCGCGTGGGACTTTCAAAACAAAAGTGAACATTGACATCTACAAAACTGAAATAAACTGTGGCATGTAGAATGGCAAGGGAACAAATTTACTGACAAAAAAGCCACTGGGAGGGTCTCAAGGGAGTGAACTTGAACATTGCGCAGTTGAGCTGAGCCTTTCAATTAGGGTATGAAGTGGGGCCTCGTTTATCACCGGACCGGTCTTGAGAGTCTTTGCTTCTCATATCACTGCTTTTTGCTGCAAACACCTTAAGTAAGGACTTTAGATGCATACCAGTTGCCTAAGCGATTCGGCCAGCTAAAATGAAGATTTAAGCGCGATTAGTTGGTGTTTGTTTCTTATCAACTTCTGTCACGCTTTATGAAACATTCGTGTTTCCAAGGCGGCAAATTCTGCGGTTTGTTGGATCTCCGTCGTTTGGCTCTCCCTACTTCCTTCAAAAGGGGTGATACGTCATACCTTTCTGTCCTTCATCTTCATAGAAATGGCTACTTCCAAGTCAATCCGGAATATTTGAGAATTCGTAGATTTGTATTTATGATACTGATATATGGGAAATGGGCCTCACTAGGTAGCAAAGGAGAAGTTTATAAACGCACTGATTTGGCAAAATATACTGCATTTTTGCACCGAAATTCATTTAAAAAGACTTTTAATTGACTCACAACAAAATTAGTCTCAAAATTTAAAAAAAAGCCAACTTAGCGAAAGCATGTAACATGTTCTTTTGCCTCTATTTAAATGGATCAGCAATTTCTCACCTATCAAAACTGCTAAAAATGTTAAAAGTGGTTCAAGTAAATAACAATTATTCAAGTAAAAAGTTGCCTCTAACTGTGTGTAGTAAATCGAGACTTCTCTCAAGACGAGAGAATGCGTAATGTTAGGGCAGAATATATATTATCAACGTGTAGAATGGCTTGGGGCTACCGGCGTGGCCCAAAGGTCAAGCCGCCGAACGGAAGCGCAATGACCGCGCCCTTCAGTGCCTGCGCAACCGAAATGGAAAGCTTAGCAAACAATCAAAGTATTACACTTGTCCATGTGCTTTAATCGACCACAACAGGACAGATGTGTTTATGTCTCAAGAGAGTTGCTTTTCTCTCGAATCAAATGCGGTTAACCTTAGAACAAAGACGCCTTCCACCTTTTCGGTTGGCTTCAACTCCACCAAATTTTAAACACAACTAACCTGTTTGCCAAACAAGACATGGTATAGCCATTTGCTTCTGAAAGCCAGAACCAAAACAAGAGGATTCTTGTTAAGGAGATCACATCATTTTTCCCTAGAGTCTTTAAGTCCCACCGGCTTACGCTCAAACATGAGAAAATATTCAAACGATTTATTCAAAAATTCAAACCAAGTTTGCATGAAATGCAAAGGAAGGGCAGTAATCCCCCCAAGCATTTTACAATGGTGCACCAAGACCAGGAAGTGTCGTTTTTATTAAAACGTCCTTTCGGTCCATTCAACAATAGTAATAAGGGAGAATGGAGCCAATAGTTGTGTTATGGCTTTCGTAACCACTGCGAGCCACGTAGTTTTCAAGCGCTGGGTCGTTAACAGTTAAATGAGAGGCCGTTTTATGCCACCTCGATTTTGGAAATGTGATCAAATTTATACGGTGGTATGGACAATAAATTTTGTACTTGTCTTTGTGGGAAGATGGGGACATAAGACTGGATACCTGCGAGTTCCACACATTCACAGGTACTATCTCCACGGCTTTAGGAAACAACCAACGACAATTGCATTTCTGCTTGCTCAAACCAAATCACATTCCCCATTCTATGGCAACGAGCAACATTCCGGGGTTCGAACAGTAGGTTTGCATTGTGCTGCTTACGCATGTTTTATAAATCCGGACATTTGATCCTCCCATGTTAAAGGTTTGAGGGCCGTAGATCTGCATAGCTCAATGGGAGTGGCGTCTTCAACAGTACTAGTTGGTATTTATGCTATAGCAAATCAACAAATTGTTTTGATTTTCTTTTTCACTGCACGAACTCCTAAGGCTTCAAATTTTCAAGTATGATGTCCTGTCTGTGCCTATGGCTTTCTAGCCCTTCGGCGCGCCAACAGTAAACCTTCTTACAGGCCCTATTGGGCCCCATTACACCCTCAGATATGACTGAAGATACCAAAATGATTGCATTTTGGCGATGAAGGATGAATCAAATGGTGGTAAAGCATTAGAGACGTGTTCCTAGGGATCACTAGTTTTCTCTTCGTTGTTTTTGCCACAAGTTCATTCATTAATTTCGCACTTTTACACATATTGTAGTCCTATTGATAGGTAAAATCCTCCCACTACAATTCAAACTCTCCAGCTCTCTCTCCCCAAAGCTCTAGTTGATTCAAAAATTGTAGCTACAGCAAATCTCAACAAACCTAATGAGGATTACTGACTAATCCGTTGACTTCAGAAAAAAGGCCGATTCTTCAAACACTTCCCTAGTTAAAAGTAATTGTGAGTTAAATGGTTATTTTGCTCTGATTTCCTGTTTACATGTGTGCCAAATTTGCCACAGCCTATTCTGGACCACAATTATCACCGTTTAGCAAATTGGAGAAGTCGTGATGTGTCACAAGCAACAGAAGAGTTTCGCGGACAGCGAGTCAACGATGTTGGAACTTCCAAAAGCCTATGGGAAGAGAAAGTGGTTAAAGAAGCTTAAGGTTGGTGTTTTTAAATTGCGCTTCACTGCCACTGCAGCACCGTCTTATTTTATGGATATTTTAACAAGTATTAAAATCATTTCCCGCAACCCTTCTCGGAACTTACTAGTGTTTTCTGCTGCAATGCCTTAGTCGTTTTAGCCCTTCGTTTTGGTCTCGCAGGCATTTAAGACTCCACACTTGCGCATCTGCCGGGCGGAGTAACCCAAGGGCCATGCCCGTAGGTCCCTTAGTCCCTCTGTGCGCCAATAATACATGTTTGACCCCAGTATTGTGCCTTCTTTTGTCTTTGGGGAAGTCTCGGGGCCCTACATCAGTTAGCAGCGGGAGGCGAACCCGATCCCAAAAGGCGATTACCCTAATTTTCATTCCTGAATTCTACACTTACGCGAAGGAGGGAGGTCATATGCTGCAAATGGACAATTCGTGAAGATTCCTAACAGAAGCACTAAAAATGACATCTCCCTTCGGCAAATATTCCATTCTTGTGTTCTGCAGGAATGTCATCTACACTCAAAGCGACTGTAACCATCTGGAAAAGCTTGTTACAGAGCTGTTTACAGTACCTGTATGAGGATGCCATTAAAGAGTTCACACAGCACCTCGTCCTCCATCTCTCTACTAGCTGGATATAACGCAGACAGATGCAGCTGGGCAGCACCGAAGTGAGAACAGACGCGATCCCTTATCGCCCACGAAACTATGCTAAATCCCTTCCTTCGTTAATTGACTCTGCTTTTGAACCAGCGTTCCTACCAATAGCGATTGGCATAAGTGATAGCCTGCGAAATTCCCCTTCCCCTGATACTCCAGTGAAACTGCCAACAGGGATAAGTGCCACCGTAGTCAGATATTCTCTCAGTTATCCAGATCTACAACACCAAAATTTCGTGAACCAACTTACTCCTTAATTCATTCGCTATCATACACTTAGAGGAGACTCGACCAACACACTGAAGAAAAGTTTTGTTGCTCTAATACGACAGTGCTGAGCTAAAAGTCAAGATTTGCAACTATCTTCCTCAAACTGGTGACATCCCATGTCTACCTTATCAGTTGAAACTCACTCCCTCTGCAATCGCTCATCTTAACCTCCGATATGCAGACTTAGATAAGGCGTCACCTTCACAATTCTAGTGGCAAATGCGTTGAAAAGCTTCTACCAACGATAATTTTTCCAAATGTCTCGATACTTTCCTTATTTTAACACTTAATACAAAACCGTTTTGTCTCCAATCAAAACAACCGAAGTGCAGGATTTGTTTTTCAGTTTCTTCGCCCCGCTAAGAGGTAGCATGTCACGGAGACGTTTTGTATACGTGGAAATGGGAGGGATAGAGGTGAACAAGAATGACAGCCTCAGTGACTACAGTATCAACAAAGTGGTAGCGGTACGGCCCATTACTTTAGTTTTTCAACCTCAAAAGCTTTATTAGAAAGGTAGTTTAAAACGCTGACAAGATATAAGCCATGGAAAATAGTGAACAACTGTACGAGAGGGCAATAAATAGGTACAAGCCCACTTGAGCCTACAAATAGTGGAATAAGTTGGGAATTTAAATGTATTTTGCTTTACCGAGGAAGGCCAATTACCTCCACTGATAGTGAAGTTATGTTGCTTTAACGTTAACAAGGCGTATCTCTCCTCCTCAGACCGAGGGCATCCCATGCTTACATTATCGCTTGGAGGTCAGCCAATCTATACGTGGACACGGAACTGGTGCTGTGGATGTTGAATGCTTGTCACGTGTTTGCTATGCCGGCAGCGAATGTGCCAGCATTAGTGGGCTGGCCTCCTTGAAAGGTAAATGCGAATTGTGGTAATGGTCACGACGAATAAAGGAGTGGAAATTCGTTGTCACACCTCGATCTAAGACTGGTCAGATTTCTGACAGAGCAAATTTTGCATTTTATTTTAGAAGAGTTTTATTAGTTCAAGCATTCCCTCGTGGAATGGCAAGGTTAAGCGTACGCTAGTCCTACAAATAACGGGCTTATCTGACCGCCCTCTTCGGAATCGGGGCACCCAACATGCAGTGGGTAGACATCCAACTTCGGAGCTCAGGCCCGTTTTACTTCGTCTTAAGTAAAGTAAGACTAAAGATTATGTGCATGCACCTCCAAGGCCGCAATTTTATCCTGCAAGCGAGGTAGTTGCAGTCAAGTAGGTCTTCAAAACCGGCAAATCGCATCACCTTGCTTGGAATACATGGTAGTGTATAATCCCAACAGTGCGGCAGTGTTTGTGCAGGTAACGCGAGGTCAACCAAGGGTCATTCCAAAGTGAAAATGCTTTGTCTCGGTTGACCACCTAACCTTTAATTTTCCCATCGTTTTATCGGCATTGTGGCCATGCTTCATGAGGTAGCAGAGGAAATTATCGGGTGGGAAGTGAACCGCCATACCGACGGCATTAACATTTTAGATAATACTATCCCTCCTAAAGTATTGCGTCAATGGCTTATTGAAGATAGTTGACTTCATTTTTCGAATCAACGTATGGAAGTAGAAATCCTCCGTCTTCATACAGGGATAATAAACAAAGGCAGTAAGCTTCAGGGAAAATACTTGTCTTTCTTAGCAAAACGAAGTCCACCCATATTTTTTTTCTTAACACCAGCCCAAATGCTCACACGGGCACGGTTTAAGACAGATTGCTTACTACTTCTTTCAGCTCCCGCAGCTATTCCACACGGTGCATTTGTGACCCAGGTGGAGGGAAATTCGCACTCAAACCCTCGTCCGGTATACCGTACCTCCGTCAGATGGTTATACTCAAAACCAGCCAACCAATTTGCTGATTTGTAGAAGCTACCTAGCTTTACTGTCCGCTTTCGTTCCGTGACCAAGCTCATATCCGAAAAGCAAGTCTGAGTTATCCACGGTTCCAAAAAACCTTTGCAATGGATTAAAATACTCGATTTAATTACTTTAACCCGGTGTCACAAGTAGTTGACAAATGCTAAGCCAGCTAGTGTATTGCAAAGAAATTGGTCAGCTCAGGCAGATG